TCGGGGGCCTGGCAGGGCGAGCTGCGGGAGGCCGAGCGGCTCCTGCACCAGGCGCTGCGGCTGTCGCAGCGGTCGGACAACAGGAAAGCCATCGCCTACACCTACAGCATGGTGAGCTGCGGGGCTGGGCCGTGCGGGGAGCCCGAGGGGCTGCGGGTCGCCCCGGGGGTTGGTGCTGGAGCTGCGGGGTTGGGGCTGGTCCCTCCAGCAGGGTCTGTCTGTTCCAGATGGCGAACGTGGCCTTCATGCAGGGGCAGCTGGACAACGTGAGTAGCTCTCTGGCTTCTTTTCCCCTCTGGGTTTTAAGACACCCTGTGCAGGATCCTGAAGGTGGCAAAGAACACAGAGCAGTGAGGCAGAAACCTCCCCAGGATAAAGCAGAATCATTGGTCTTGGGCCTGCAGTCCCACGGGGCACGTGCTGCTCAAAAGCTGCTTTCACAGTGAATCTGGGAGTCCCAGCTTGGGGTGCAAGGGAAGGAACACTGCTTGCTGTCCTGTCATCAGTTAGATACTGTCCCAGGAAGAAAGCCCTGAAGGCACAGATGGGGTAAACTCTTGGCTGGTGCTGGAGCCCTAAAGCAGAAACTGAAAGGACCTTCCTGGTTGGCAGCACCACTGGGTGCCTTTCTCTTCTGACTGCTCTTGATGGACAATGTGAATACCACAAGTTGTTAGACAGGTTTCTGCCAGTAGTTTTCTTCTGTAAAGGGTGGGGATATTTTGTTTTAACTGCCATCATCCATCAGTATGCTCTTCAAAATTCTCATTTCAGGCAGAAAAGCTCTACAAAGCAAGTATGAGCTATTTGCTTGCAGGAGACATGAAGGAGGTATGTATGTATATCCTTGGTCTATTTCTTGTGCTGGAATACCTCCTGGGAATTGGCAGGAGTAGCTCTGTGCTTGCCAGCTTCTCAGGAACTTCCTTTAAGTTCTGGAGGCAGCTCTGGAGACAACAAGATGGGCATTTTCATGGTCTACACTTGTTCTCTGGTAATGTTTCTGTTGGGGAGATGCAAGAAGAGTAACAGTTGCGTTGTGTGTCCTCCTGGCAGGATGACAATGCAATCCTTGAGATGTCCCTCAAGCTGGCCAGTATCTATGCTGCTCAGAAACAGTGAGTTCTCTGCTAAAGGCATTTTTTTGCTTTCAACTCAGCTTCAGAGTGGCAGAGAAGAAAAAGGTTCTCTTTCTTTAAAATAGAATGTGTGAGGAAGCTTTGATGTGACACCACCAACATGAAGTGCCCTCAGGCATATTTGCCTACCCAATGTCATGCAGCACAGGGGATTCCTGTGATGACCTGCTCAGCTTAGAGCAGAAGTAGCCACAGAGGACATCACTCTTTAGTCTTAAATCCACACCTCACAGGAGAGAAGGCTTTTGAAACAGTTGCTGGCTGGTAACTTGTAGCTTCATTTTTCAGTGGAGCACCAGCTGGGTTGCTTTAGCTGGCCTTGTGAGGAGGGGACTCCCTCCACCTCTTGCACCTCTTTGCCCATGGGTCAAGGGAAGGGCAAGAAGGGTCTGGTGAAGGGGAAAAGTTGTCCTACAGGCCCTCTAGAATGAGGGATTAAAGGTTTTCCCATTCATCCCTTCAGGGATGAGAGGAGCTTTGTTGAATTGTTGTACTTTGCAGGCACAAGTTAGCCCTGGCTGGTTATCAGTTCTGCATCCTGACCTTGGAGGAGAAGATTGCCAAGGAAAAGGACTTGCCTGAGGATGTCTTACCAGGTGGGACAGCCTTGTCTGCCAAAGGCTTCTCTCTTTTCTCTGTTTCCCTGACCTTGATAGTGCTTTCCATGTTGCCTAAGCACCACCTTCATGTCATCTCACTGCATGAGTTTCCTGCTCTTGCAGGATGGAGACTCATGCTTCATCTTGCAGAAGTGATCACTCCCACTCCTCTCTCTGCAGCTGAAGAAAAGGCCAACACCTGTCTCCTGCTTGGGATGAGCCTGGACTCCTATGCTCGTTATCTCTTCAGCATCAACCAGCTCCCAGTGGCCCAAAAAATGTATGAGAAGGCTCTGCAGATATCAAATGAAGTTCGGGGGGAGAATCATCCACAGGTGACGTGTGCAATGGTCGTTGGGCTACTGGGGAAGGAAAGGCTAATGGCCTAGAGATTGAGGCAGCCTTAATAGCAGTTTTGCTGGTGTCAGATGAACACAGCACTAAATTAGCTTCTGTCTTCCTGCCAGGAGGAATGAGCATGCAGCATGCTGGTATAGAAATAAGGCACTTCCTTGCTGGAAGCTTCTCTGGGAAACCCTGCTTTTACTAGTGTGACAGGGGTATGAATGTGGTGTTCCTGCTGCCCCAGACTTCTACACAGGTCTTGCTCTGAGGCTTCCTTTTCTGTCCTGGTTCAGACTGTGGTCCTGATGAATGACTTGGCAACTGTCCTGGATGCTCAGGGGCACTACGATGAGGCACACTCCTGTGTGAAGAGGGCAGCTGAGCTGGCAAAGGAGACTCAGCATCCTGAGGAGCACATGGTGCTGAATAACCTGGCAGCAATTCTGATGCACAAAGGTAGGTGCATAAATGTCCAGCCTGGGTGACTGTGCTTGTGCTGACTGTAGAGACCAGTCTTGCAGTGTTATTTTGCTGGTACTGTGTTTAAGTAGTGAGTCTGCTGGCTTGATGTAGGCAGCTTGGGTTCAAATTTAGCTGGAGGATCCTGTGTGAGATAAATACAGTGCTGGTGCATCCAACTCTAAAAGGTTTCAAGGGAATCTTAGTTTTCCTTCTCCTGTTTGTAGAGTAACTGGTTCCAAAAGGACAGAAGACATGCTTGAGACTTTTTTCAATGAGATCTTAATGCTGGAGCAGCACCTTATCCTGTTGTCATTGTTCTCTTAGTTGCCAACCTGTGCTGGATGTTTTCTCCAAGTCTTTTCCACGTCCTTTGCATGTGCCCAGCTTCAGGAGTGGACTCTGGAAATATGGATGATGTAGTTGGGTAGCCATGCCACTTTTTCCTCTCACTACAGAAGACTTTCTGCAAGCAAAACAAGTGTACAAAGAAGCTCTCAAGCAGGCACAGGAGAAGGGAGATGCTGCTTCTGTCCAGCATATCCAGGAAGAACTAGCTGAGCTGGCCAAGAGGCAAAAGGGCTCCAAATGAGTTTGGCCACAGAGTCCAACCTTGAAGTGGTAGCAGCAAGGGCTGGTCAGTAAAAACAGCCTCAGACCTGTTTGGTGCAATTCTCCAGGGAAACAGCAATGAGGAGTTTAAGGACTGCTTAACAAGAAGGGCTGCCATTGCCTAACAACTTAGCCCAAAATAAAGTTGTGAAATCTTAACTCTGTGAATTTGTGATGCAGTCTATGGTTAGAGTGACCTACTGTGCTGGAGATCTAACTTTGTCTTGACTGCCAGCAAAGTGCAAGTCCAGCCTAACACTAATGCTTGCAGTTCAGTCCAGAAGCAGGTATCTGCTGCTCCTGACTGTTCACAGAAGTACTCAGTTTCAAAACATGGCTCTACTAAAGCTAAGTCATGAAAAAGAACAGGCAGGAACTGTCTCTCTACATGCTGGCTAGTACAACTGGGAGTACTCTGCTCAGTTCAGTATGTGTTAACTTCACTAGAGCAGGGGACAGAGCTGTAGCTCCATGTCCTTTTCAAATGGCTGCCTGAAGGTTGAGTGTTTTCCTTCAAAGCATTTAGCATCCAAAGATAGAACATGCCCTCTCAGAGGAGGGGTGAGACTGTTACCAAAGCAGAGCTGCTGTCAGAAATAAAACAGCCACCATACCCCAGCCCAGAGCACAGTGAGAGCCAAAGCTCTCCTCCCCTCTTAGAGAGGTCAGTGCTAGAATGCCAGGGTTTCCTGTTGGACAAGATGGTATGTACATACCATCAACTGTAGGTACTTGCCTTCATGTGAATCCAGCAAGAACAGCCTGCTCATACAACAGTTCCTCAGCCCTGCCCTGCAGGGAATCCCAATGCTAAAGAATTAAACCAGAAGTTATCAAATCCATCATTAGCTAGGATGGTAGTAATTCTGTCACTAACCAAATATTTTAACCTCTCCTTTGTAAGAAATTAAGCCTCTTGGTATAACCCTTAATGTTAATTGCATCATTAGTAGTTTACTTACAGTAGCATTAGTGGCTTCAGCTCTGCTTAACTTAGAGCTGGGAGGAGGCAAGGAGGTTTTCCAGAGATGTTCCCTGAAGCTGGAAAAACTGTCACATATACAGGTTTGTTCTCAGCAAGCTAGGAAGTAAAAATACAGCTGTTACAGGCACACTTGTACTAACAGAAAGGCTCTCACATGTTAGAGCCAATCTTCATGCAGGTTCTGGGTGTTGGTCCTTAAGTGGCAGAGCTTTGAGAGTCCAGCAGTGTGAACTGGGAACCCTGCAGCACCCAAAAGGGAAACATTTTGCCTGTTCTCATGAACAGAGCTTGATGCTGCAAAACAAGAGGGAGACACAGGAAAAGCCAGTGGAGAACTGATCCCCTTTATTGATTGGTCTGAATCCAGAAGTCACTGTCTACTGAAGACATTGTGTGGAGGAAAAAAAAAAAAAAAGGAAAAAAAAAAAAAAGAGTTGTATGATGCATGGGTTTTTCAAGTCTGAAATGATTTCATGTCAGAATCACAAAACATAGCAGGATGAAAGCATTGGGAAAGCTGATCAGAAATCAGTTAAAAATCTGTAGTAAACTACACTTTGTAAACATGATTTACAAACACCTTCCTGTTTGAAACAGGTCAGATGTAATTCCATACTTGAAGATGACTGGAATTGTGGTAAACCCTACCTTAGGCTCTGGAGAGGTTTTGTTTTTTACACTGGAGAAGTTAGAACTCTGATAACAAACAAAAAAAGCAGCAACATTTTATGTGCAAATGCCACTCAAGCTGTATCTTAGGAGAAAGTGACTAATCCTACTTTGGAGATCTTGCTGCTGCAGCAGCAGTAACATGAAGCTTTGCAGTGAACATGCTATACTTACTGTACAGTTAGGAAAGACATTTGTCTGTACATGCCTCTTTCACGTTGTATTTGTAACACTTTAAAAATGAGAACAAGTGAGTTTTTAGAATGGAACTTAACTCTCCACTCCAAATTCCAATCTACAAAAATGGCAGATCAACTTGTTTTCCAGTATAGGTTGCTGTGGGATCAAAAAAGTTAAAATAAGAACACAGGTCTACAAACAGGATGACAATGAGTTCCTTTGGATTTTTTTCTTCCCACACTTAGGGCAAAAAGGCTTTCCTCTGAAGCACTCAGAAGTAAATTGGCTATCAATAAATAGTTCTGTACTTCTTCCTGTTTGTAACTGGACTGTTACAGTCCTTCCATGAGATGCAGAGCTTACATGGCTTAAGGTTACACAGCTGCATGCTACCTCCCATACAACATATTGCAAATACAGTGTTAGATTTAAAATATTCTGGCTGGAAAATAACTTCAAGGCAAAGGCTGTGTTCATCAATGAGATGCAAAAGCAGTTTGGAATCTGACAGAACGTGCCACCCCCCAGCTCAGTGCTATTTGTAAATCAGTCCTTCTACCCTGGAAGATTTAAATTCACTTCCAGAAGTCAGTGCAGCAAAAAAGTAAGATGCTCTTGAAGAGGGATGTCAGGACACCCTGTGATATCACTAACTGGATGTATGTTTACATGAGCTACAAGCATATCATAGCAGGCATTGATAGATGAATGATTAAGGAGACTCCTAGTACCATATACAATTAAAAAAAATATATAATCACCCTAACAAGTATTGCACACTTTAGGAGTTAAGCCAAGCATTTGTAAGGACTTCCACCAAAAGCTTGCTTAGAGGGCTAGGGACTGGGATGGGGATGCAGACTTTAAAGTAATTATTACAGAAAGGTTTTTAAATCAGACTGGAGGAAGGTAAAAATCACAGTACCTACTTCAAACTGTTTGTAACAGAAGCCAAGTAGTTGACTCGTGTGCTGCTCACTTATTCTAAAAAAGCACTTTGTTTTATTTCAATGTGGGATGTAGAGGTTTTTCTTCTTAAAGGACTTAACAACCCACCCAGAGCCTCTGTTCAAATAAGCCATTTGCTGTGGTTAAATATAACAGAAAAACTGAGTAGCCTGTTTTGACTGCATCCAATGCAGAAACAGAAAACACTAAGTTAGGCTTTTGGGGCACAGGTAAAATTCCCAGTGTGCATTAGCAGTGAGGTGTTCCTCCAGAAGCTGTTCTTTTGTGTTACTCTTAGCCTTTTCAAAATGAACCATCACATACCCATGCAAGAATATTTCTGCAGTGTTCCTAAATAAAACCAACTGCACCAAAAATGTACAACGTGGCAGAATTGAAAAAATTCAAAGAAATATCTCATTCCAGCAAACTGGGCTGTGTTCCTGAACAAAATTCATTAAGGGCTCAGTCTTTTAAAAAAAAATAAAAAATAAATCAACATTTTCACAAGAGCTTGAACACCACTGAGAAATGTGTGTCTAGGGGAAAAAATGATTTAAAAGCACAATGCCTGCAAGAAGTGGCATGGCATTAAATGGGTAATGATGCTAGGCTGGTTGGGAGGCTGGGGTTATGGTTAGGCTGGGCTGGTAGGGAGGCCAGGGTTATGAAGAATACTCTACGCTGGAGAAAATGCTTAAAAAAACCCAAAAATTACAAAATGACCCCCAAAGTTTAGGCAATGATTTGAACATAAGTACACCAGATACTATAGCAAGGGAAAAAAACACTGCAAAAAGTACTCTCTATTTACAGAAGAACGATTTAAAGACATTATGGTTTTTCTTTACAAATAGATGTAGAACAGGAATAGTCCACATTTTTAAAAACTCTTTACATATTTATCTTTAGTAAGTCGACCTTCTCCATCAGGATCCTCCAACTCATGGCCTGGGCAGAAGGCATTTAACGGACTCTCCATCAATTCTTCATTGTGTGGCCCTTGCTCTCTTGGAAAGTCTCTCTGGGCACAAGTCAAAAATAGATTTTCTTTTTTTTTGACCCGCAAATTAAAAAAAAAACAACAACAAAACCACAACAAAAAAACAAACAAACAAAACAACCAACAAAAAAAAACAACCCCAACGAAATTCTGCATAGTTCAGTCATCACTGTCAGACAGAGTCTCATATTGTGCTGAAAGCAGTGGTGCAGGCTCTCTCTCCCATATCCTGTTCTGTTGGTGGGTGCTGGGCTGGCTGATGGCCGGCGGGGCGATGGAGGTCGGGGGGGTGCTGCTCAGCATCCGCATGGTCAGCGGGTTGTACGGGAACTGGGTGGAACCTGAGCCAAAGAGAGGTTCTCCAAGTCAAAAAAACTGAAGGGATCGGAATGACTGAAGGGTTTCAAGTTGGAAGGGACCTCCTGAGATCATCTGGTTCAAGCCCTTGCTCAAGCAGGGTCAGCTACAGCTGGGTCATGGAGTTGTAGAATGAAGCAGAGAATGGTGAAGGTTGGAAGGGACCTTAATCAGGTTCCAACCTCCCTGCTACGAGCAGGGACACCTCCCACTAGACCAGGCTGCACAAGCCTCACCCAGTCTGACCTAGAACAGCCTTTCCACAACCTCCCAAGGCAACCTATTCCAGCACTTTATGACCCTCACAGTGAAGAATTTCTTCCTGATGTCTAAGCTAAATCTCCCCTCTTTCAGTTTAAAACCCTTACCACCCCTTGTCCTCTCACTGCCCTCTCTGGTGGAAAGTCCCTCCCCAGCTTTCTTGTAGCCCCTTCAGGCACTTGAAGGTGTTCTAAGATCTCCCCAGAGCCTTTACAGGCTGAAGAGCCCCAACTCTCTCAGCCTGTTTCCACAGCAGAGCTGCTCCAGCCCTCAGATCATCTGGCTTGCTCACTCCTGGTTGCCCAGAAGTGTCTCCAGACAGCTTTTGAATATCTCCAAGGATGAAGACTTTGCAATCATAAGAGAGGCACAACCCAAGCACATACAGGTCATACTCTTAATGTATCCTAGAACAGCTCATGCCTCACATATCAATTCCCCATCTCCTTCCCCATTACAGAATTCATGAGTGCTGTCCTGCAGGGTATGTGGATACTTGTGGATGGTGTGATTTTCAGTTTTGGATATCCTCAGTGGCCAAAACTAAATCTTCACCATCTGAACAATTAAGTGCACATCAGGCAATACAGCTGCACCCCTCTGTTATTAGACTGGTTGCAAAGGTACCATTTGTATCTCACACAACTTCTGTGGCTGAACCAGATTGGGATCCAATCTGATCTATTTTATTAGTTCCATCTTTTTGTCCAGTCCATGCTCTCTTAACAGCTGAAGTCAGTTAATACAAACAGGTACACACCCTCCTTCAACCTCCTGAAGGGGCCCACAGGAGCTGTTCTAAAGGATCTGTATCTGAAAAATAGTCTGGTTTTGGTTGTGACAATTAGCAGAAAATCTGTTCCACAAAATCCTCAGGTGCTGTAAACTTTCGACCAACAGATCAGTGTTCTAGTACCCTACACCTGCCCTCTCTACATTTCTCACCTGTTGATGAAGGCCTGTCTTCCCAGGCCCACACTGGAGTCTGTCTGTGGTAGTCCCCTTCTGAATGGACAGATGAGACAGAAGAAGGTCTTTCAGTTCCCAAATATCCCTGCCCAGGAATCGGAGACTTAGACTTCCGACTATTTGACTTGCCCATGAGCTTCTGCTTGCTGACTCCCCCTCCTGGAAACACAAGGCACAGGTTTTACAAGGGTGTTAACGCTGCATTTTAGCCTCTGAAGGTTTGTTTCTATAAATAATCAGAGAGCAGCAAAAAGGAGTTTCACACTGGTGCCTTCTGGAATGCTGATTTACTACAATTAGTGACCACACAGGCTCATCTACAATGAGCTACAAAATTCTTATCACAATGGAGCTGTATTTCCATATTTCAGTTCTAACCAGCTCCCACTGTCACGTGTTCCTTAGAGGTGATTTTCATCAAGCCTCTGAGAAGCTTCAGGTATCTAATACACCCTGTTATCTTCTCCCCCTCACCAGTGCTGTCATTCTCCAAGAAATACTGGCAAACGCTCCTGGTCACCAGCACCACTAGAGGGAACAGAAACACCATCTCTGTTTCTTCCAGAGGAAACACAGTGATTTTCAGTGACACCAAGTTTATCCAAACCCTTAATTTCTTTCTTTTTTTTCTTCTTAAAGACCATGAAATATTTAGGAGCTGCAATACCTCACCTGAATTTGGTGATGGATTAGCTTCTTCCCTACGTGTCTCATTACTTGCTGGTACTGCAGCACTGGAGCTGCCGGGCGCTACCGCGATCGATTGTGACATGACAACTCCGTGCTCCTCACTCTTGTCATCAAAGTTTCCCATCAGTGCTTTCCTAATAATGTCTTCCAGACCCAGATTGCTGGCAGGATCTGCAAAGGAATGACCCCTAGAACTGACTGCACCTGGGAGATAGAAGAAAACATAGAGGGAAAGGTGGGAGAGGAGGAAAAAAACATCTCAGAGAAATGACAAAGGGATGTGGGGAAAGATTTGAGAGAGGCAGAAAGGTGAGGGGAAAAAACAAAGATGAGTTGTTGTTGGTTTTTTTTTAAATGCAAAGCTACATGCTCCAAAGCAGCTCACAAGGGCTACAAGTTAGATATGCCAGTTAGATATGTCAGGCTTTTTACAAGAGGGTGAATTTTACTGTTGGTTTTGTTTGGTTCCTAAAATAGTAAAGGAAGCTGAGTTCACTGACCATGACAACATATCAAGTAAAACCTGCAGCTATTTCTTAAAGAGACAAGAAGAAGACTTCTCTCATCAATGACCCATACTAATCTGTTTTATGAAGTGGCAAATATTTATTCCAAAAGCTTGTATTCCATCTGAATTATTGGAGATCAGTGTTTTCTCCATTTGACAGACAGAAGGACTGGAGCAGAAGGGGCAGCCAAAGCCATGTAAAGTCAGGCTGTGGTACAACAAGATGCAGGTACAACAGTTCTTTTATCTTATCTCAGTTCAATTCTCTGCCACACTTGCCCCTTGAACACAGTAAAAGTGTTGGTTATGTTTCATTTCCATGTCTCATACAAAGTTGTTTGGTTTATGATATATTTATAATTTTTTAAAAAATCAATGTTTTCAATATCCCAGTTTATAAAGTAAAATTGATTTGATAAACTAAGCTGAAGTTTTGTTGAATGACAATATATTTAAATTATATTTAAGTGGATTGACTTTCATGACTTCTACCTCTGTGTGATTTGTACAACACATGAAAATAAACAATTCTTGTTTAAAATCCCATTAAAATGTTTTCTGAAACTTCCTTTGGTCATTTTGATTTTCCCTATGATACAGGAAACAAATTTTCATGTAAGATATTGCCTTTAAAAATTTTCATCACCGTCCTCATTTACTGGACTCCCCAAAGCAAATAAATTAATCTAGTTTTACTTTTTCTGAAACATATGTTTCTTTTATTGAAAAACTTACCTGAGGTAGTGACTGCTGGCAAATTGAATATTTCAGTCCCTGGCTGAGCAGTTGCTGCAAGTAAAACATTTCATTGAGTTTTTCAGTACTGATGATCTCTATAATTGATCACTCCTAGTCCTAATGCATAAGGTATAATTACTTTTGAACTATTTTCAGTGTTCTTTTTTTTTCTTCTCAGTCTTCTAAGGTGAATGTGCATCTATTTCTTCTCAGGGAAATGATCTATACCAGGGTAAAAGTACCTCAAATAGTCATGGCTACCCTTCTTTGAAACATGTTACTTCAGACTGACTTTTTCAAATTTACCATCTCTGTATTTTAAAATGCAAAGCTGCATTTCATTTGCTAAATACAAATTTTAACAAATTAAACTTGTAGAGTATTTTTATGTATTAAAAAAAATACATGGCAACAAGTTTGGAGTGGCTAAACTATCCCCTTCCCCACATTACCCATATGATGTCCAATTTGAGAATAACAATTTTGAACCATATATATTTATATGAATTCAATATATAAATAAAAACATTACTGGTAGCAATGGGAAGTGTGCTTGTTTGCCAAGCATGTACATGAAGCTTTCAACAGAGCAAAACCTGTATCGTGCACACAGTGGGGATCAAGTGAAAAGAATACTGCAACCCTGACTGACACAGCCTTGTTCCTCAGAATGAGATTAATTTGTTGCTTAATGCAAGAGCATTCATTTTCAAATAAACACTATTAGGTACTGTGCTCACTACTGATAATTTTAATTCAAAATTCTGTTAAGATTTCTAAGAGAAAAAAATAGTTCTAGTATCATATTCCACCATCTATTACTGAAACTATATTAAAATATGTCCTTTTAACAGCCATAATCATAAGGGCCAAGAAAAACCAAACCATTCAGTTTCAAGACACCTTTCCAAAAAGGAAAATGTGTAATAATAGTTAATATTGACAGGAAGCAAACTACAGACACAAAGATAACGAGAATAATGTCAGGTTTTTACTACTTTCTCATTAATTAGGTGCTTATCCATGGTTTTCAGAAACCACTTCTCTCTCTGAAATAAAATGTTAAAAAGTTTCAGTGTGACAGTCCTACATACACCGGGGGGAAAAAATCTCAGAAGCTTTCATTTATTCAGTCAAAAATTTTTATATATATGGTTTTATATTCATAGATTTATATTAACTCATATGTTGTTTGAAACTTCTTTAGGTTAGGGCAGCTGTGAATGGCAGCCACACAAAGCTTAAGCTGAAAAAACTTGGTGAAAAGGCAATTCTTGCCTACCCATGTCAGAGTCACTTCCACCAGATGAGTTCAGCTTCCGAAATATCTCCTGTTTCTTGGATTTGACCATTGGTGAAGTGTTCTCAAGTTTGGTGAAAAAGGAAGGCAGGTAACTGATACTGCCTGGCGAGCGAGAGTCAGTCCTGCCGAGAGCAACGTTTGTTAGAGAGAGAGAACATCCTTCAAAATGTACATTCAGAGATCTCCAAAAGCAGTCAGGTAGAACCCACCAACAAATTGGCTTTAATTAAAAGACAAACAAAAAGACCCCCACAAACATCCTATACTTAAGTTTAAAAAATAAATAAATCTAAAAATCAAGACGACAAAGACTCTACGTTTCCTAGGCCAAGATCCTTGAAATTCTAATCTCCCCTGCCATGTTGCTGAAAATCCCCTCAGATCCAGCCAACATCCAACATGGACAGTAAAAGCCCTGCCAGCAACTGCAGGGGAGGGAAGAAACCAAGAAAAAGAGTGAAATACTCCAGTATGAACTTTACATGAGTACATGGTGAGCATGTTTGGTGCTGCTACTCCTTGAGCAGGCAGCAGAGCAAATGATACAAGTTTTATGTTGCACATCTGGCAGAATGACAAACAGCCACTGTATGGACCCCCTGACACCCCACCCTGACACCTGAAAAACAAGCTCTATAGCTTAGTGATATTTCATGTGATAGGCTGCTCTAGAATCATGACTTCTGGAGGCCTGGGTTCCTCCAAAATTCACCAGGACAGGATCTAGGAAACCAATCAGGCAGGACAAGCCTGAATTATAAAAACTGTAGAAACTGGATCTTTTCTGGAAATGATTTTTATAGAACTGGCACCCACAAGGAGTTTTGCTGTAATGTTTTCTGTCAGAACACACTGCTTGCACCAGGATATTTAAGACAGAACCCGTACAGGTGATGTTTCCCTCCCAAGTAGCAAGTTTTGAATACTAGTGCAAAAGGATCAACAGTGTTCAACAACCTGCCTGTGATACCAGAGGAAGATTCCTTAAATTGCTTTTTAATAAAGGTATCGTTTACAGCACAGAAATCCAGGATTTAAATTCAGTTTGACACTTACCTCTGTTCAGTAGGCTCAGTTCTTTGGGAAAGCAAAAGAACATTTTCCTGTTTCTCATGTACAACGGGGACCTGAGGTGGCGAGATTGGCTCATAGGGCTCTGAAGAGACATGACTCCTCTCTGGAGATTTTCCAGGTCTACATCCATAATTCAGAGACAAAGAAGTACTCTTGATGCATGTATTGCAGTGGTTAACATGTGTCATTGCATTCCAGTTGTACATCACTACTTAGGTCTAGTTATCTATGTTACATGCATTGGTATGCTTGGTGATCTCAAGATGACTGAATCATCCACAGTTACTCTGGTAAGTTCTAAGTAACTAAGCATCTTCATTGCTCTAGAGACTGGAAATTAAGCATAAGAAGAGAAAGAAAGGAGAAAGGAGAAAGGAGTTTTTATAGAACTGGCACCCACAAGGAGTTTTGCTGTAATGTTTTCTGTCAGAACACACTGCTTGCACCAGGATATTTAAGACAGAACCCGTACAGGTGATGTTTCCCTCCCAAGTAGCAAGTTTTGAATACTAGTGCAAAAGGATCAACAGTGTTCAACAACCTGCCTGTGATACCAGAGGAAGATTCCTTAAATTGCTTTTTAATAAAGGTATCGTTTACAGCACAGAAATCCAGGATTTAAATTCAGTTTGACACTTACCTCTGTTCAGTAGGCTCAGTTCTTTGGGAAAGCAAAAGAACATTTTCCTGTTTCTCATGTACAACGGGGACCTGAGGTGGCGAGATTGGCTCATAGGGCTCTGAAGAGACATGACTCCTCTCTGGAGATTTTCCAGGTCTACATCCATAATTCAGAGACAAAGAAGTACTCTTGATGCATGTATTGCAGTGGTTAACATGTGTCATTGCATTCCAGTTGTACATCACTACTTAGGTCTAGTTATCTATGTTACATGCATTGGTATGCTTGGTGATCTCAAGATGACTGAATCATCCACAGTTACTCTGGTAAGTTCTAAGTAACTAAGCATCTTCATTGCTCTAGAGACTGGAAATTAAGCATAAGAAGAGAAAGAAAGGAGAAAGGAGAAAGGAGAAAGGAGAAAGGAGAAAGGAGAAAGGAGAAAGGAGAAAGGAGAAAGGAGAAAGGAGAAAGGAGAAAGGAGAAAGGAGAAAGGAGAATGGAGAATGGAGAATGGAGAAAGGAGAATGGAGAATGGAGAAAGGAGAAAGGAGGAGAGCTGTACCATGGAGGAAAGCAATTATGAAAACAAGTGCAAGGCAGACGTTGCCTAAGAAAAGACCAAAGGATAGCTCTACTTCTGATCTACATCAAGATTACTGCCCTATTTTTTAAAATAAATATCACACCTGGACATTAATTAAGTTTGCAGTGAAACTGAATCCATGCATTACCTTCCCCTGGACTTGTCAGACAGATTTTCAGGTGACACTCGAGCACCTGGGCGCTGATGGAGGACGGGCTGGGACTGGGATTCAGGGCTGTAGCGATTCGATGTCTTTGCCCGGGTAGAAACAGGTGTAGGAGCAGGGGTGGAATTCTGGAATGTAGTGGTGGGAGGCTGCAAAGAGGCCTGAGAAGCTGCTTGGTTTCTAGCAAAGTCTTGTGTAATAATTTGCTGGTTGTGGCCAGAAAGAAAACAAACAGAAGAGAGATTTTTGTCAGCCACTGGCCAGAGTATATGTATCCATGAACTAGAAGAATATGAGACTGATTGCAACAAATGAGATGATTTTAAGTTCAGACGTATTATTGTATAATATCTTCAAGTTAAACTAATAATGACAGAATTAGTATTATTTTCCAAAATGTGTGTTTTCATCATCAAAATACAACTTTTCACCATCAAAATGTAACTTCTCACATCTGAAAAGATGCACGGAAATAAACCTACACAGATGTGATCAGCCAGGGTGATGAGTCGATGGGTCCTGGGCACATGTGCCATCCCTTCTGCTTGGGAAGAGGGAGGTGGTGGTTGCTGGGGTGAAGGGGGTTCCTGCTGTGTCCTGTAGCGGTGAATTGGCCCCTCATACTGCCTGTTTGGGTCATCTAGTTGAAGAAAAGATCAGTCTTGTTATAATAGTAGAATGACAGAACATGCAGAGTTGGAAGGGACCCATCAGGATCATTGAGTCCAAACTCCAGTCCCCGTGTAGGGCACCCCAAGAATCACACCATGTGCCTGAGAGCATCATCCAAACTCTTCTTTTATTTGCTCTACTTTTCCCACAGATCACTGCAGCAACACACTTGCAACAAAAGTTTCTGAAAAGTTAAGAATGTGGTCGGCAGGAATTCAAGGCTCCCAAAATATTTTGAGTTCATGGAGCTGGTCAACAGAAGCAAGATAATGGTAAGAATATTTGTATACACAAATAAACTTACTCTCTGCCTGGCTTGGTTTAGGAGTCTCTTGTTGATAGGGCTGTAGCTTTTCTTGAGAAGGTACAGGTGAATTTGCAGGGCTAATCACCTCAATGGCATCTCCAGGAGCTTCATAGCGGTGGGAGGATACTGAGTATCAAGCAAATGTTGTGGAATAAAGTGTAAATATCACAGACAATTTTTGTTGCCTGTACAAAGCAACACTAGCACTTCCCTTAAAATGACAGGAGTGAAATGAAAGTCAAAAACTGCCTTTTTCTCCTGATAACCTTGGTGAGAGAAATACATTTTAAAAAATAGTGTTCCAGTGTAAACCAAATAATCTCAGGTTTCCTGACTTCTGATATGGTTAGTCTCATTATCCTGCATTTCACAGAATTCAAACAAAACAAAATACTCTGATTTTGCAAGAATCTGGAATCACTCTATGCAGAAACCTAAACAGGCCTATGAAGAATCTTGATTGTGCAGAGCTGAGTATTTTCCCATTAAACATCCAAATCATTTCACATCTTATTATTCCCCTACAAGGCTAAGACAGACAGCAAAGAAGTAGGTAGTTACAGAATACGTACAGCTACTGGAAGAATCTGAACTTTGGGAGCCCCTGTCTCGTGCATCCTTGTCTGAAGCAATCTGTCTGGTGATGATCACATCAATGAAGTTAGCAGCAGTAATCGTGGTCTTCCCTCGAGTTCTCAGCTCTTCCTCGTACCTGGATTTAGGGGGAGGTCCTTTCTCTTTCCCAGCCTCTGAATAGACTACTGATGAAGACTGTCCCTGGGACTTGCCAGCAGAAAAATTTGCAGATGTATAGGGGCACTGGACAGGCCTCTTTTCTACCTCCAGTGTCTTCTGTTCCATCTGCTGCTGCTCAGTCACCACAGCTGAGCGGCGGCCCATGTTCTCTTCTATCCTGGTTCCTTCGTGCTTGTTTTCTTTTGCTTTGGCAACTTCCATCTGAGGAGCAGAGGCTGCAGCATCTACCAGTGCTGCAAGGGCATCAGCAGCAGTGTTGTAACGGGAGGCTGGCAACCCTTGAGTAATAGAGGGAGCTCCAGGGGTGAGCTGCCTGTTGGCAAAGGTTGAATATTCTGAATTACATCCTATTAAAGGAGAACTAGAGCCTATCGGGTGAACAACAAACCAAAGCTTTTGTGACACTCACTACTATCCCAGCTGGACTGGGTAAAAAAAATAGAACGGTTTGAGTTGGAAGGGACCTTAAAGATCATCTAGATCTAACCCCCCCTGCATGGGCAGGGTCACCTCCCACCAGCCCAGGTTGCTCCAAGCCCCATCCAACCTGCCCTTGAACACTTCCAGGGATGGGGCAGCCACAGCTTCCCTGGACAACCTGTTCCAGTGTCTCACTATCCTCACACTAAAGAATTTCCCCCTAATGTCTAACCTAAATCTTCCCTCTTCCAGTTCTGATCCATTACACCTTTTCCTCTCACTACAAGCCCTTGTCCAAAGTCCCTCCCCAGCTTTTCTGTAGCCCCTTCAGATACTGGAAGACCACAATCTCCTCCCAGAGCCTTCTCTTCTCCAGGCTGAACAGCCCCAGCTCTCTCAGCCTTCATAGGAGAGGTGCTCCAGCCCTTGGATCATCTTCATGGCCTGGCTCTGGACTTTCTCCATAAACTCCATGTCCTTCTTATGCTGGGGGCTCCAGAATTGGACATGGGGCTCCAAAATTGCCTACAGTGTTCCAGGTGGGGTCTCACGAGAGCTGAGTAAAGGGGGAGAATCACCTCCCTTGACCTGCTGGCCATGTTTCTATTGATGCAGCCCATCAAATGTATTAGCTCACTTCTCAATAGCAGTTGGATAGTGGGTGTCCTCATCTTTTTGTATTTTCCTGAGGCTAAATGCACCTTCTAGTAAGTTCAAAGGCTAGAACAGGTAACTTTTCAACAGTAACTTAAGAAACATACATGATACGTAGCTGAGCAGCAGTATCCAAAGGTGTGATTACACTTGTCCCATTGGTTCCTTGAAAAATACTAGGCCTTTGCTGCAGTATGTTTTCCTGGCTTCTAACTGAAGGGGATGGGGACCGAACGTATCCATGACTGCCAGGTCTGCCAGGCTGCTCTGTACCTGCAGAACATAGAGCAGAGGGGAACAAACAAAAAAATATACATAGATCACTCTTATAACAACACAGAACTATGTATGAATGCCGTTTCCTCCACATCCTCTCCACCACTTCAGATGTGACTGGATGTATGAAAGATTCCAATTGCAGTTTTCTGTTTGCAATGCTCTAAATGACAGGCAAGTTGTGCCAGCAATCACTGGGATTCACACCACCCCTGGGTACTACGTTGCTGTGAGAGAAAGGTGAAGAAGGCTGGTACTTGCAGAAGTTGCATTTATGACCAGAACTGCCAGGTAACAGGAACCTGCCTTAGGTGCAGACTAAAACCGTGTGATGTGTTGTTAATAAGCTGCATGTTGCTAACAGTGGCTATAGAAAATGAGCAGTTCCAGCCCACAAGATCCCAATGTGCACTCACCTGGTCGAAGATAAAGTTCAGCAGCGACTGAAGTGATTCTCTCCCTCTCCCGTTCTCGTTCTCTTTCCCGCTCTCGCTCACGTTCCCTCTCCCTTTCCCGTTCCTTCTCCCTCTCCCTTTCCCGTTCCCTTTCAGCATTTGCAGCTGCAGAGGCTGCCAGGTGTGTAGGGTGTCCTGGAAGGTCCACAAGATAAAATGAAGTAGCAAAGAAATACTCAAGTTAAGCAAAATTTGATGTTAAAAACTTGCCAGTATATTCTGCCATCCACTTAGAGCAAAGCCTCCCAAATACTCTTTCATTCCACTCAAGTCTATCCACTTGTTTAGGAAATCAAAAGCTTAACATACAGTGAGAATGGAAGGCTCAACAGCTCAAGCTTTTTACCATACAGCTAGAAACTGGACAGCTTATAGACCCAAATTCCACCCTTCAACACATGCAATATGATGTTAGTGAAGTCATAATAAAGACCTGACAGAATGAGGCAAATTCTGAATTTGGCAGAGCTCCTTCAGCTGCTAATGTAACTATAAAGCATCTCATTAAAACCTTTACTATCCACGTGAGAAGTGCATGCAAAAAAGCATCACCTGAGAAAACATCAAAACATGACATTAATGAAGGCTAAATAAAGATGGTCAAATATCTCAGTATGTCAGATGATGAGAGGTGACAACAAATCGTAGGAGCTCATACCTGGTGACATAGAAGCAGGATTGTAAGGCCTGGGAGGGAAGGTGAGCTGGGTACCAGGGATATATGTGATTCTCTCCAAGGGTGGTGTGCTTGTTCCTCCAGGATGAGGCACTAAGATAGTGGGAGCCATATTGTTCAAGTCAATAATTCCTGTTAGGAGATGACAGAAGTAAGAATGGCCATTCATGGACAGACCAATAATCCACACATTTTATACTCTGTTAATTGATAAGGGTCAGCAGTGAGTGATAATGGGAAAAAAAAATACAAGAATAAGGCAGGTGCAAAGCTCTCAGATCTGGCCTTCAGCAATCTAGGAACATAGCAAGTCTGAATTTCAATTTCTAGCAACTCCTGGGAGAATGCCATGTAACCCCAAGGACTCACAACTCCACTGCATATCCAAAAAATCCATTTTAAAGACTATCAGAAAAACCACAGACATACCTCGTGCTCCTGCATATGGGAGAGCTAAAGTTTGCTCTCTAGGAGATAACCCCCTGGTGACATCAGGCCGTAAATTGACTTGCATCTGCTGTGAGGTAATGTAGTCATTGAGGATTGTCTGGCGTGTGTTCTCCATCGCGTAGAGCTGATACTGGCTTGGGCAGCCTGGGGTGGGTGAGAGCTGCCTCTGGAACAGGTAAGCAGCAGCAGCTGGGGGGGGAAGGAGGAGAAAGACTTAGGAAGCAGTATGGGTGATATCCCATGGGACTTTCAGATCTTTATGTAGCTGCAATGAGAAGTGCTGTCAAGTCTCTCTAGCCAGCGACAAATTAATTAAAACAGCAATTTAATACTGATGTTTTATTGAACTGATGCACTATCCCTGGACAGAAAAAGCTACATAATCCAGATGAGAGATATTTATTAGTAAAGAGACTTGATTAAAAATAGAAATCCTGAAGTTCTGAAGATGTAAAGGGCTCAAATACCTAAAAGAAGGTTAAAATACCTCAGAGAAGTGGACTGATGGATAGGTTACTGTATATAATATCAGCAGGGATAACCTCATAAGCCCTCAGTAAGAATGAACCACAATCTGTACAGAGGGGTCCTGATTACACTTTAATTCTATGGCATCTTTCACATCCTTCTTTGCATAGCTTTCCTGAAAGCTTTTAATATATTTCACAAATACTTAATCTTAAAATACTGTCTGAACTTTTTAACAAAGCAGAAGCAACGTGGCAGCTTCTAAAAGAACGCTGGGGTATTGATAATGGCCTTGCAACAGTAACTTCTGTGTGCATCAAATCATACAGTATTTCTAAAACTAAAAAACACAACACAAACATACTTACCAGGATCCAGAGCCCTGTGAAATGGCATAGCAGGATCTAAATGAGGAGGGAGGTGACTCCTATAGACTTCAGGAGTTGCTCCTCTGTGATGAGGGTCAAAAGGACTGTGAGTCACTACAGGATCAACCCCTGGGACTGGAGATTTTGCTGGCACGTTCTCCCTCTGTGTTGGAGTAAGTGTGTTCTTCCTTTCATGATTTGCTGACTTCCCAGAAGATATTCCAGCTAAAAAAAATGAAAAACTCAAGTTAATAAAAGGCATATCGGCTTCCAAGGAATGTTCCAGAGGACCTTGTAATCTGATACAATAAATCACAGAGAATATTTTATAATACAAACTATTTTGGTGAAAAATCTAAATCCTAAAACTACAATTGCTTGCACTTCACCAGATTATCTTCCTCACCTAGATACTTCCATAATTCAGGAATAGCTTCTGCCCTCAAAACAATACTCTTGTAGGTAACACTTTCAATGTGATCTATAATCAAATGCAAATTGAGACTGAATTGCCTTTCCACCTCCATCTTACGATACAGCAGATTTTCATTTTATTATTTCAATTAACAGCTTACAGCCTTCTAAAATTCCTTCTAGCCACCCTCCAGATTGAGAAAAGCCATTAGCATAAGATGGGAAAAAAAAAGTAGACTGGATTACAGAAACCAGTTTAAAAGCAAGTTTAAAATTAAATTGTTAACAGTTCTTGTCTTACTCTGGACAGGAGTAACATACCCTCATTAACTCTATTCATCATAGGTGAACTCCTGGACATTGGACTCTGATAGTTCACAGGTGTCCTCCGAGCATTGGTATCATCATAAATCCCAGGGCTCAGCTGTGATTTGGGAGTTTCATGAAGAGTTGACCTGAGAACAGAGGGACCAGAGCTGACTACTGACGTGTGACGGGAACGTACTGCATCCCCGGTCTTCACATCTTCATATTTTCCTCGCTCCACCACCTTCACATTTTCTGGCACCATTTCCAGCTGAGGCATTCCACGGGGTAGCTTGCTTGGTCCAGTGATTAAAGATTTTACATTGTGTTTGATGGCAGACTGGCCAGAGTTGCTTTCATATTTTATGGGTGTGCCCTGAAAAGGAGAAAAAGATAGGTAAGGCTCTCCTGCCAATGTTCAACTCATCCTGGGAGGGGGGAAATAAATAAAAAAATCATATTGCTGATATCATAGTTCTGTGCTTCCATCACAGCAGTGCAAAATACAACTGGATCTTAATAATTATTACTTGTCAGCTCTCTCACATTTGCTTGTAAGTGTGTTCCCTACAGGTGAAGCATCAGGGTTTTTCTAATACACACCGTATATTTTTAAGCTACATAAGTTGTTAGCTTTCTAAAATAAAACAATACACTCCCACTTTTTGATTATTCTAATATCCTGAATTGAGTCACTTCTAAGTCTGTAAGCAACTGTGTGAGTCTAGAAGTGCTGTTTGTATTTACCTGAGATATGGAGCCTTCTATGATTGGCCTGGTCGTCTGCACCATTTCAGGAGTTTTGCGACTCTCCTGGCTTAATAAATCCTGTCTTGGGATCTCATGGATGGAACGACCCATTTCTTTTATGGTAGTGACTCCATCATATGGTTTCCCCTTAGTAATGGCTCCTTCAAACGTCCTTATGGGAGGTGATTCTCTCTTAATCTGTTTAGGGTATTTCAAGCCTTCTTCAAAACTTTCAGCTGTTGCTCTTGGTGTGCCTTTTATAGAAAGAGTCACATCACTGGTATTAATAGTTATTACATCTCTTTTTTCATCAACTACATGTCATAATACTGGAGCTGTGGTCTGCTGTATACCAAGAAGTAAAAAATGGCCACAAAAATATTACTGAACAAATGATGAATATATTACTGAAAGCATCTCAAGTTATTTCAGATGCTGAAACAAGGACAATAGCAGACATCTTCAGAGGCCTGAGGAATTATCAAGAGTTCATTAAAAAAAGGTGCTAATTACCAAGTATTCACATATTTTATAGTGTAGTTTCCAAAAAGAAATATAATGCCCTGTTTACATACTAGCCTTGTATACAGGAATCAGAAAGCTGCTGATTTATGTCCCAAAAGCATGTTTCATAAAATAAGCTCCAACTTTAACCCAGTTACCATTGTTAAGAACAGTTTTAAAGTACAGAAATCCAGATTTTTGAGGCTGTAATTAATGCTTGCCTTCTAAACTTGCAATACTTTACCTTGCATTATAGAGCCAGACAACACAGTTCTCTCTTTTAGTTCAGCATGTGGGCTGCCCCGAGGCAGAGCACGGCATATTAAACCTAAAATGAAAATCAACATAATTTAGAGAATTAAACAAGGGTTCAAAAAGAAAAAAAAACAACAAAAAAAACACACCCCAAAACAACAAAACCCCTCCTTCTTCTCACATACATTACAGATATTATCTGTATCATGGTGGTGCCCAGAGGGCCTAGCTTCAGTTATGCTAGTCATTGTATCAACACGTTATAAACACCAGCCTGCCCTCAAAAAATTAACTGTCAGTTCAGGTATTCATGCTATTGCATTGCTGCAAGTTTTAACATATTTAGAAGACAAAGTATTTTCCTAATTAACCTTAACTCTTTGTCCCCAAAAAAGACACTGCCTCTCTTACCTTCCACTTCAGCTTCCTCACCTAATAAAGAAAGGTGTTTGTGACGTGAAGTGGAACAAAAAGGAAGAAAAACACCACAAAATATACCTCAGCATTCTCCAAATTAATCAAAATTCATATTGAGTCATCTGAGAAGAGCTGAATTTACCATTCCTACAGTAGGAGTTTAAATCAAATCCCCAAAGAACTCAGTTTTTTACAGTTTGAGGAAAGAAAATGTGTCAGTGACAGGATACAGCACAAAAGTATCAGAGCAGCTTCTCATATGCCAAAGGAGCCTGAAGATGAGCCAAATGCATCTGCAACCTGAAGGCAATGCTGAATTTCCAGATGCAATTTATAAACCTCTTATTCACATTATTCAATCTGATGAAAATGTACACAAATTAGCCTTTAAGGGATACCCAAAGGTGGGACAAAATGCAGTTAAGGAGTAAGACTCCAGAGTTTAGGCACGAAACGCTTGCATTTGTATTTAAAAAAAATTAAAAGCAGAAAATTATATAATGGCCTGACTTGACCTTTGCAGTCTGTGTTTGCCTGCAGTTCATTAAAACAAAATAACACCAGGGATGCCCTGAAGCAGGACACAGCAGCTGTGCAAGTCTTCTGCTTGGCATAATTGAAGAGGTTTATTGCAGGAATGCAGAAGGTCACCCCAGTGTGTCACCAAGCTGCTGTGGCACAGCTGAGACCAAGAATTAACTAATGGGCGTGTCCACAGAGTCCATGCCAGTGTGACCCTGGGGTGTTTGAGCTCTGTGACAACCCCTGGGACTGTGAAGGCAGTTACATGTGTCAGATGCACCAGGAGGAGTGAGAGCTGAGCTACCTGTAGTTATGGTAACATACCAGAAGAAGATACAGGAAAACCAATGTCTGCTCCAGTCCTGTTCCCAGCATGCTTTAATGGTAGTGGTTATTACATCAATTTAGTTAGCAGTGTAAGATTTAAATCTAATTTCTCACTTAGTCTGCTCCATAAAATATCTCCAAATACTCTTAAATCAATGCAAAAGGTTTGGATAAAACACAAAACCCCCTGGAAGTAGCTGGTTTTACCTTCCAGCGGTGCAGATACTGGAGACTCCCGCATTGACATTCCTTGCTTTATATTCCCTTCCATTGTATCATAACTTCTCTTTAAACTCATTTCATGAGCAGTTCTTGGGCTCCTTGTTCCTTCACGAACATTTTTAATAGCTGGCAAAATTTACAGGAGTGCGGTTAGAAATTGTGGACAGTAAAAAAAGAGATGTGAGCATTACATTTAGTGAGACCACAGGTCGTTAATACTTTAACAACACAACTTCACTGTAATATTGTAACATTAAATCTCAACCTTAAAAAGAAAGATCCCCTATGGTTTGTTACAAAGTATTTGTTTAAACAGTTACTAATTTATCAGTACTTCAACTGAATTCCAAGGTAAATGATACATTTATTTGTATTTTAATACAGATAATTTTAAACTTAACTATTTAACCTTTCAAAATAAAAAACATTCTGTGACAAGTTGGAAATAAATGGCTCAGAAATTAAATACTTTAACTATTTTTTAAATACATAGTACAGGAGATCAGAACAGAGGTTTTGTTTTTGGGTCACTAATTCTTACACCCTCAAAATCACAAGCAGGTCAGTACTTCTCTCAGATGGCACCCCAGTGCCTCAGGTTTACATCCATAGGTTCAGAAGCAGATATACCTCAGCTATGGAATATAAAAGCAGAACCTTCAAGCAGCCTTGGCTTTGATCAGGTAAAATATGCAGATACTCACTATCATAAGATAGAATATGCCCACTTTTGCCTTCATAAATAACATGGCCTTTGGCTGAAGCCTCCTCTCGACACTTCTCTGGGCTGCTGTCTTCTGTAGCCAGCCGGGTGATAGTTCCCTTCAATAATGCATCAGCTGCTATGCCAGGCTGGGACAGAGCTGGAGTACCCTGCATATAATTCAGAACATGTGTATTTATTAGAGACTAAGGAACAGTGAAGGAAAAAAAAACCACAAGAAACAACAATTTTAAATCTGGAAAGCAAATGAATTCAGCATGATGCACAGCTTCACCTTCTGCATCTATTATTAGACGTTCAATCTAAATTTCGGTAAGATTATTTGTAGGCAACTTGCTGCCTTTTTGAAACAGTACAGAAAGAAGAATAGGGAGTAAAATATTGCAAAAGTATTTCACCATTTGAAACATTTACCCTATAATACATCTTAGAGGGAAGATGGCATACACTTCATTTGTGGTGAAAGAAAAGGGCTTAAGTTACCTCTTTAAACAGCATCTGTGCAAGACTGGTTACAGTGGATTTTAATATTTGAACTCAGGTGTCATGCTATCTTCATGGAAGTTGCTAATAATGTTCAATTAGGTATACTAAAGGCTTGGGTGGTTTTATTTTAAAAGCTTAAAGACTCATATACATGAAGATGAGATCACAGTAATGCTGACTGCAGCAAGAGTGGGATCTGATCACCTTATCTTATTAACATTTATTTTTTAAAAGGCAGTTCTTCCTCTGTGATATTAATTTATTTTTTCAGACATGCAAAAACATTCACAGTGACAGTTTAAATATGCTGATTTGCTACAGCCTCCTCAGTAAGGGTTAAAATACCTGAGTTATGGAGCCTCTCAAAGAAGGAATGGTCTCAACAGAAACTTTACTGGTTGGAGTTCCTCGTGTTATACTGCCCTCCTGTATTGTTGTGGTACCTGATTTGAAATAATAAGACATCCTGATAAATTAGAGAATAAAAAACCAAGTAGCTACTTTATTTGAAATAGTGAAAAACTCTAGGGAGAACTGTTAATTTACAATAAAATACAGGGGATATTTCAGTTTAACAGTGAAACTACTGCCTCTTTTAACATAGTCTTTTACAGACTAGAAGTCTTTAACAGGATATGAAACCATGAATTCATGTTATTTAGTTTCTTTTCTTTTTACACCTTTTGATATTTCACATGTATTGCTCTGCATATGCTCCAGTGAACAACTAAATTTTAGAACTGGTAGCCTTGAAACAAATGTTTTTAAATAAGACATGCAGACAAGAGGAGCTGGCTACAACAGGGAGAAGATTAATCATATAATACTTAAAAAGAACACTTCAGCAGTTTGAGCTCTAGACATAAATTCTCTCAAGTTTCCTCAGGCTCTGACAAAGTTGTTAATCTGTTTGACTTTACCTCGAACCACACTTTCGTGTTGTGCCCTGCCCAAGAGACCCTCAGGTTGGGAATTTTGACTTCTGGGAGAGAATTCTTCTTGTTTGATATAGGGAAGGGAAGCTGTTGAGAAAAAGAAAAGGTGTCGAGGTTTTTATCTTTAATTATGAGTCATTAAGCAGTCTATATAAAACAGACGTCAGCTTTTCTTACCAGATTTGGCTGATTACTGCTGCAGTCCAAGAGATATAGAACCCACTGATGGTTTTGCAGTTTCTTGGGTGTAGGAAGCTTGACTATGGGATGTTAAGTAAGTGCCAGGTGTTCCCTGAAATAACCATAACATTATATGTTAATTCTTGTTTCTGGAATGAAGATTCACATCTATGTTTAAAGGAGAATGCTAATAATACTATGATCCTATCTCAAAATGCCACAGTACAACACTGCAAAGCATCAAAGTATAGAACACCAGGAGTTGCTGACAGTTTGGAGAAGCAGTTCACCTAAACTGGACCTCCTCAACCATGCTACTAAATGTAAAAAACTACAACATGGAATAGTGTCCCACGGGAAGTGGTGGATTCCCCCACATTGGACAGTTTAAAGTCTCAGCTTGACAGGGTTTTGAGCCAACTCATATAAACTACAGTATTACCTAAGAAGATGGGATCAGATGATCCTTGAGGTCCCTTCCAACCTAGCATTCTATGATTCTGTGGTTTTATAAGGTATCTGTAATCCCTGGACTTACAGAGGTGGCACATGCCAGGTCTAAGCATTAATGCCATGAACACACAACTGAGCACAAGAGGTTGAAGGTTGGTTAAAGGGAAAATAAAGAAAAAAGATCTAAGCACAGATTTTCAAATAACAATTCTCTTACTTGTGAGATGGAGCCTCCCATGATGAAGGAAGGTTTTTCTGATGGCACACTTGTTTTGGAGGATGGGATGAGTGGTGGTGGAGGTCTGGTGGGTCTGGTTGTTGGGAGGCGAACTCCTTCAGGTATATTTGTTATTACTTGGTGAGGTGCTGGCTGGAGAACTTGGGGAAACAAAAGGTACATCAAATATTACAGCTGCTTTAGCTCTACTAGTTGTTAGCAAGACAAGAAGAACAGAAATAGCACAGTTCATCTGACAGTTTCTGATGGGAATTGCCTCAGTACTCAAAAGCTACCCAGCTGTATTCACAGCTCCAACACTCACTATGTCCAAGTATATGTTTCTAAAGAAAGTTCTTATCCTTTCACTGGAATGCTGCTGAGTCAAGTATAAGCTGAGCTTCCTTGATTTTCTCTTTTCATAGCATGACATTAAGGGAAAAGCAAGAATCCTAGTCTCAGAATTAAGATTTGTCAGTTACTTCACTGTTATACAACATATTGAGACTATCCTATTGAGCAATTACAATCAGAAACTAATGGACAGCAGCAGCTTCCTCCTTCCCTCAACTCCCCTCTTCAGAAAGACCACCCATGATTATGATGGTACTTGTATTAGCCTGAAAAGCCCTTGATGACTTTGTCCCTGTGCTGGTCTAACACTTTTCAGATCATCCTTTTTGCTTAAATAAAAAAATAAATATTATGCAATAAAGAACAAAAATACAACCTCAACACAACTAGAAAAATACCAAGCACCTGTTTATATGCACACAGAGAAAACAATCTGTTTTCTTCTTTAATTAAGGCACAAAATGTTTAGAGGACAAGCTGATACTACATCAAGCCACAGAAGTAAGTCCAGCTTCCAAAGGAAGACTGCATCCCACTGTGATATTCACCTGGGGGGACACTGTAGCGAGCTGCATTCATGTCAGGCTGGGGAGAGGCTTTATTGACTTCTCTTGGAGACAGCCTGTATGGTGATGCTGACCTTGCTGCTGGATTTTGCACCTGTGCTTCCTGTTCCATTGCTCGCTTGACCTCAGCATAGGGCATGTAGGCTACTGGTTTTCCTGCAAAGGTTAAAGTTATCAGAAGGAAAAGAACCCTGGATTAGAAATGTAGAGTCATAAGGTCATTTTAACAAAGGGCCTACCTTCAATGTCAGATATATTAATCAGGTACAAACGTTTCAACTAAAACTTAGTATTAAGGTACAGCTTAACATAGTATGTTCCTAATACTTTAATATCCAAAGCTTTGAAAAAACTTTCTCATACTTTCTATTTGTGAAAAACAGCATCTGGTTCTTTTATGTCCTTTATATGAAAGCTCCGCTACTGAAAAATATTTCATTTAAAGAAGATTCATTTCCAAATCCTGTGCATCAGACAGGTTTACATGCACATTCAGCCCGACTTAAATGCCAATCCCACCAGACAAAAAGCCTCCCTTCCTTGGTTGCTTGTCCAGAGATGCTACAAATCAAATTGCAAATACCAATATTGCCCATCAGTGGTGTTTAAAAGGAAAAGACACTTCGAGAAAATACACTTTTACCATATTTAGAAAATTAAAAATCCAGCACCAGAACTTCACAAATTCCTTTTCCTTGGCAATGGACAATTTAAAATTTAAGTATTCAAAACTACAAGCCAGAACAAGTCTATTGCAACTGTGAAATTACATCTTTAACCTCCATAGTCAAAGAAAGACGGCTCTAGCCATCCCATAATAGCTTTCTAAAGGATCTTTATTATCTAATAATAAAGTATTGTTTAGGTTGTCATAAACTAATTCAACAACAGCCCCTTTAGTTTGACAAGATGCCCCACCACACAGGGGGTGTTCTGATGTTTGCAATGCCAGGTCTCTGAGCAGCCCGTGGTCTCTTTGCTGCACACAGCAGTGGGTAGACAAGCTTCACACACAGCTACTTCAGTAGTAACTGTTGTAATGATCTGATGACATCTCAGCCTCCTCTAGTTTTCAGATTAAGATGTCCAGGCTTGTAGAACCCATTTACATTAACCGTGTTCTCCCTCCCTCTCTGTCTGCCTCAATAACCACCTTGATTTTTGCTGGCAGAGACTTCACCCCAGAGCTTTCCCACACTTCATAACCCCACACTGCCAAGGCAGGAGTTATTCAGGTGTTTCAGCTAAACGGTACTTTTAAGCAACCCCAGACTTTCCACCTAAAGAAGACACTTCCAAAACCCACAATCTTACCCTCCCCCCTACAAATCCACAAGCTCTCTTCTCACTATTGCAACAAAAAATGGTTGTTTCTTCCACTTCATTTAGGTAAAAGTAATTAAGTCGAACAATTTTCATAACAGAATTTAAAATTGCTATGCATACTAAATACAGAATACTTGAGTTTCAAAGAACATGATAGTTTTTGTTGCTAATACTGGGAAGACAACAAACAACACCTAAGAAAATAAAAAACTGCAGAATTATGCAACTGTGATGATATCTCTAACATTGTAACACTCAGCACATTAACCTCACTCAGTTCATTTCACTGTTACAATGTGCAGCTTGAGGACCTGTTCTTTCACTAGTCAAGCAAGTCAAGGTAAAAGTTAAAACACTTAGTACAGAACTGGGCCTGCCATAGGACATGCTTTCTTGAACAAAACAAAAAGCAATCTTCTGCAAAGCTTTTTGCAATTTGCAAGATGTTGATAGAAGTGAAATCATCTCAGTTCAAAGAAAGAAACTATAGCTGATGTACACAAAGTGAAAGCATAATATGAAAGCTCATAAATCATCCTGTGGCTCTTATGCAGCAATTTGGATGATACAACATAGACTGTCCATCCGAAGCACCTTCCTGTAACCACCAGTGGTGACAGCCATGTCCTTATTTAGTCACCCTGACAGGTTCTGTGAGCTTTGTTCCATACTGAAGGTGACACCAAAAGCCACATTCAGGATACAACGGTCCAGATGGCAGAGCTCAGTCCAAACCCTGCCTCCAAGTATCCTCTATATATATAAAAGCAACCAACCATCCTATTCCCCAGAGAAAACCTTTCACCCAGCCCTTCTGCAGACACGTAAGGTAAAGCACAACAGCTCTATCAAACTGCTGTGCCCTGCTCCAGGGCTCAATGTCCACATACGTACTCCACGGCAGTAAAATATTCTTCTTCATTGTGCTCATACTCCTTTTGCAATTCTCTCACATCTTCACTTAAGCTTCTGAGAGGAGTTTCCCCAGAACAAGCAGATATCTGGGTCCTTTCACCTGCACTCCCAATCTTTCTATAGAACAACTGATTTTTGGCCAACAACTTCTCTCTGAAGGAACAACTCACTTCTGGACTTCAACCAAATGGAGCCAGTTTTTCTGCCTAATCTAAAGAGGCTAGAAGGAATTTCTCCAACACGGTAACTGCAGCAGGATCTCTACATGAGACAGGTTCCTTCAACCAAGTGCCATCAGAACACAATAGCTAATTATCAGGGGACACTTTCAGTGTAGGACACGGCCAGGAATGCAGGGTTATTTCCACAAGGGATGTGAAAATGCCTACCTTCCCACTCAACGTTGGGGCTCTTGGAAGTGCCACAAGGGCTGACAGCACTTCGATACTCCATGTCCAGCTGCTCCTGCCTCTGGCGTTGCTCCTCCAGCAGCGCCGACTCGTGCATGGCTTTGATGTGTCGCTGGTAGAGCGCGTAGCCGCTCACCGGGGTGCCCACGGGAACAGTGCAGGGGCTGCAGGACACCTGCAGGGTTGGGGAGGTGTTAACATCAGGTACACTAACACAGGTAATAACTAAACAACCATCTTACTCAATGCAAGCTCCACTGCAGCAGCTGTAATCTATGTATGAGTGTTCCACCTGGACCATGCTTGTTTTGACGCTTTTACTTGTTTGTACTTAACTTTCCCCCTCAAAAGCATCATAAAGTAAATGATGTATCTCTTAATTTCATTATTTTTTTTACCACTGTAGTGTAGCAGCTAGTTTTAGAGACAAGAGATACTCCTTTAAACATCACTTTAAAAAAACCAAACCCATACCATAGGTGGTATGACTGCAGCTCGGTGGTGCAGCTGCTGCAGGTCCATCTGCCCTTGCTTTATCGTGGGTGATACCAGTATTGATCCAGTGGGATTTAACAGGGAGGGCTTTGACTCCCTGCTGAAGATACTGGAAACAGAGATAGAAGGAAAAAAACGTCACCAAAAAGACCAAGATTAAACATCTTAATAAATAAATTACAGGCAAAAGTATGCCTCTCAACTTGAAAAATATAACACATCTAATATGTTGCACAAATAACTGAAAAATCAGAATTATGTTGTATTTTTTCCCACAACTCATCTGCTAGAACACAGAACAGATGCTGCTGTATTTTTATAATACACAGAAACACCAAAGGAAGTTTTCAGAATCTCTAATACCAGAAATTCATGGATGCAGTTTCTTTAAGCATAGTACTGCAAAAATGCCACTTTCTTTCTAAAGAATGCTCCAAAACAAATAGATAGGAAGCACTGGATATGTTTAGTCCACAGTAAATAAATAAACAAACAGTAGTACACAACAGACTATTTTCAGATGGAGGGCTGGTGTATTTGTGAAGGGGAAAGATGATGTCTGAAGTGGCAAGGTCCAAAGACCACGTGCAGAGAGCAATGACACTGGATACTTTTGACATTGAACATCTCTCCTTGGTCTGCATGTATATTAAGCCCACTCTATATACTCATTGTGGGTTATCCAGTGTTTACAGCCAAGTTCCCAGGAGCTGGGAAGTTTGCATTAAGACATTGGAGACCTCTTTGGAAAAAGAGGTCATCCATTTCTCAGGACACCTGCTCCTTAATTTACAGACACTGACTAGTAAGAGAAATCCTTCCACTACCCTGTGATTAACAGCCTTCAAGAGACGCAGTTCTACTGATTGCTGTAACATGGGCCAATGACAGTAACTGGGTACAGAACTCAAGATGTTACACAAGCAAATAAACATGAAATGTTAAAAGGGAACTAAAACATCAATATTTTATGCCCCCTTTTTATTTTTATTTTTTAAAAGCAAGTTTCATCTCCTACTAAAGCTGTTTTCCCAGTCATATTTAAGACATTTTGGATGTATCCTACTAGACTGAGTTTTTGAGAGCAAGAATCAATTAAAACAACTCAATTTCCTAATTTTTGGCTCTACATTCAATGAGTTGTTCACTAACAGGGATGCTATCAATACTATCCCACACTAATCAATCACACTATAAAATTTTCCAAATATACTTCTGAATGTGTAGATTTGTTCATAAGTGTAAAAACAACAAACTAACAAGACCAAACCAAAGCAAAGAACTTCAAAATAGATCCAGTCACCCAATCATTGTTGAACTTATTGGTGGACAGATAGGGGCATTTACAAAGCTCCCCACATAGGTTATTTAGTTATTTAGTTGGTCACCAATTTGTAAATAGCTGCATATCAACAAATCCTGCAGTAGCAAGATCTCCCCCTCCCCACCAGAAATACCACAGAGCTCCTTGTCATGGAAATTCATGCCAGGAGCATATTTTCCTGCTTTGGCAAATCTTCCTTGTTTCAGTAAGCTGCTGGCCTTTCCAGATAATTGTTTAACACAATTCCCATTCTCTGAAAAGATGAAGTTCTTGAAGATGACAACATTGGAATGCTCAACAATTGAACTCACCCTTGTCTGTCAGGTTCTCCATCAACCTCCTCATCAGCACTACAGGTGGCACTCGAGTCATTATCTGAATGGGATTCTTGTCTTGTTGTATTAACCTGTTGTGACAGACTATAGTCCATTTCCTCTGGTTCTGACTTCTCCTTGGGTTTCTCTGTATCTCTCTCTTTGGTATCACTCTCTATTTTCACTTGAATATTCTCTGGTAGCCTCATTTCAGTCTCTACAGGTTCTACTTTGGTATGCACTGGAAGAGTGATCACAGGCTTAGCTTCAATTGGATGGCTTCTACTGTCAACCTCCATAGGCTCTTCTGCCTCATTATTTATTTCTTCCTTAACCTGTGGCTCAGGGATTTGACTCTGACTTTCAGCTGTTGATACACTTGGGGCTGTTAAGGAGGGAGATGTGCTGGCTGCAGGTTTCATGGTAGGTTCTTGTTCTGCTGCAGCCTCAGTGGTTACTTTTGAAGCAGCACTCTCAGGGGGAGTTTCTTCACTTGGTTTTGCAGGTTCTGCTGGAGTTGGAGATGGAGCACTTTCTGTATCAGAACTATTTTCAGCACCTGGAGAAAAAAGAAAGGTTCAATTTTAAATGAGATCTAATTAGGCTTTGCTGAACTGCTCCATTAGAATAATCAAATATACGTCTGCTGTCCCAAAACACAACTAGATAACAGCACAGTCAAAGCATCTTAAAATACTAAGCAATAACATCTTAAGGCTGCTCAATACTAAAAATGCTGTTTCCCCTCCACTCTACACCCTCAACTGCTAACAACCTGAATCAGAGTCTTGGAGCACTACACTATGAAGTGGAACACAGCCTTCTGAGCACATATTGGGCACAAAACATGGGTCTCTTTCTGTGCACACACAAGTTTCCTTCCTAGAAAAGTTACCTTCACTGTCTTCTGGATTCTCTTCTTCATTAGATGCCTCAATATCTTCATCCTCCTGAGCTGACACAGTCGAAGCCACACTCTCACACTGTGACACATCTCGCTCCTCACGGGGCCTCCGCGATGACTGACAAAGACACACATTTACTTTGCACTGAAAATCTGCAAGCACTATTCCTTTCACATGCACTGTCATTTATCAATCTGAGGTTGAAATGAAAGACCAAGAATCTCTGTTTAGCACAGACTCATTCACAGGGGCACTGTCTTTCAACTTCAGGCCAGCTTTTGCAGCTCCTGATCAGCTTGGGAACAAACCACTCAAGAGATGTTTGGGGAACAACACAGACACTGATGCTCTTCACTTCAGTGAGAGAAAGCTGGGATAAAACAGTAGTTTAGAGATTCTACTCAGGATTTTACTTTAGATGCCCCAAAACTTTCAGTTCTGGTCTGGTCTTCTCTTAGTTCTACAGCAATGACCTGAGCTTCTACAGCTGCTGGTGCACTGATGAGGAACATGGTTTTCAGAACACTAAGGAATTCTTCAGGCTTGTGTGTGGTACCTGATAGAAAATTTTCTATTGCATTTTAAGGCAAGAAGCTATTAGAATCACAGGTCAGTGAGCATCAGCTGCCTTTGCTAGGAGATTTACGTCTCAACACAAAAACAAGGAGAAAAGGAAACAAGTGGTGATTGCAAGAGTTTTAGTGAGGCATGATGAATGACTTGAGAAAGATGCCAAGTTTTCCCCTGCAAAATACTCCATGCCCACTGAACTTACCTTCTGTTTGTGCTGTTGGAGGAGGCTGTCCAGATTGTGCCTCCTTTTATAGTTGAAGTAGAAGTTTTTACACTGAGCTTCACTTTTTGTCCCAACCATTTTGGCAATTGCTGCCCAGTTTCGTCCATGTTCCACCAGGCCTGTTCAAACACAGAACAGCCATTAGTAACTATGAGCCATAATTCAGCTATCCAAACCCAAATCAATGCAACAGCAAGGCCTACAGGAAGGTAAGATACAGCAACACTGCTCTCCTTAAGAGAACTCTCACTGTGACAATGCATTTGATAACTGCTTGGGGGGCCAAAAAAAGCTGTGTCAACCTGAGTGTCTGCTTGGGAAGCCTTCAAACTTGACTCCTTGCTGTTGCTAAGATGTAACATCTCTGCTAAAATATTGATTTTATGCATCAAATGTACAGGTAACAGTATTTGCCAAATGAATAGACAAAGTATAGACTACCTTAGCTTTTCTGTGAAAAGCATGTCTTATACAAAAGGAATTTTGCTAAGTTACAAAGACACTGCTTTGAAAATTAACATATAACACACACACCTTCCCATCTGTTTCACGAACTTCCACTGGCCAAATACAACATCAAACAGTTCTAAGTAGCTCATATAAAAAAAAAAAGTCAACATGAGTCTCAAAAAACTGATTTTGTCTGCTAAAGATGTTGGCTGTTTGGGTTTGGTTTTTAGAAAAAAAAAACCAAACGAAACAGAAAATTTCAAATTATTCAGTGAGTGTCATGTTGCACTCTCTCTTATTCAGTAAATAACTGTAATTTTGTAAATACATATTCAGAAGTAATAATTATTCAGAAGTAAGTAAAAAGCTTTCAAAGGTTTACCTTTCTTAGCAACTTCCATCTCTTCCTCTGTCCAGCGGGATGTCTCCACAGGCTCTGCAGAAGCTGAAAGAGGAAGACACTGATCAGAGCAAAGAGCAGAATTCACTGTTATGGCACAAACTGTGCAACCCACAGCCACCTAATCCATGCACATTAAGGCTTGTTCAGGTCACATGGGAAAGCTGCTCTTGTCAGTGGGAAGTATTCAATCTCCACTAATCCAGGTCAGAGGTATAATAGGAACCACCACAATCTCAGCACAGAAAACTGTTAAAAACTATTCTACCTACAAAATTATTATTATCTGTCAGGGAAGACTTGTAAGTAACTTAGATATATTTATCACTACAATTGTAGTAAACTGTCAGTAATTACCATCAACTACTAAAAGCAGCAATCCCACGTGCCATAAACTAGTTCCATCTTATTTCACTGACTCCAGTGGAAAATACTGAAATGGTTATTTATCGTTTAGTGGATATCAAGAAATCTACTATTCTTATATTTACTGAGTTTCCTGCTGGACAAACTGAGAAAAATAAAAGAAAACAGCCAGTTTGTGAAAACAATCAGGAAACTAAATGTGATTAAACACAAAATACTTCTCATTCACTTCTCTGGATTTGATATAATTCTGTTTCAATTTCTGAATGGCATAAGCTGCAACAGGCTCCATTTTCTTTTCAAAACCTCTGCCATTATGCACAGCAAGCAGCATGGACCCTTCAACAACTTCCATTAACAAACAACAAAGTTAGGACACAAAAAAGTATATGATCCACTGAAAAGCTTTTCTGGATTTTCCAGAAAACCCTGCAAAACCATTTAAAATAAAGCAAAGCAACCCTCCCTGTCACCTTAGCCTAGTTGCTGACAAAATCCCACCATAACAACTGAGCAAGGATGTTTTTCACAATCTCTGATGTTTACGCTTCAAATGAGGATGGATTTACCCACTTTGGTCTTTAGGATATGCAGAATATCTGAGCAGCAAGAGTTGTTACAAATTCTAGAATAGCAGCTGCTGTAACTACCCTGTTAAGAGCCAGCAACAACAAACTTTGCCACAGCAGAGCACTGCAAGGGAAAAAAAAACAACTGCCCTGCTACCCTGGATAATTATTTACTAGCCACAAGGTGTTCTGGTGCTGGTATTTCTGCACCACCACAAATTACATCAGCCTTTTAAACAATGCAGCCAGAGAGAGCAGTCTTTTTTAATTCCACAAGCCAAGAAAGTAACATTTTAAAGAAGTTTCTTGTCATCTAATGCAGAAACAACAAAAACAACTTGCTAGGATCCATTTCAGATTATGAAATTCCCTAAAGTACTCAAATATCAGGCCTACTTATTTAACAATAAACTCTGTGAGCTGCAGCCTGAAAGTCAATCTGTGTCAACAGCATTTGGATCTCTTCAGACCCATCATGAACCCTGCAAAGAGAGAAAACGTGGTTATCACAGAAAGGCTCAACTGCCTTTTTCATCCCCCACATGGTTCTAACAGTCATCTGATTACACATAAACTATTCATGAAGTTACACTCATGAAGTTTAACAGCACCACACAGTCATAAAATTATAAGCAGGCCTAAGAATAAAGATATATATATTTTTAAAAGTGCACTGCATGCAGAGAGAACAGTCTTCTGCCTTTGAAGAGCCTGATGGCCAGCTGGGTCCCTGAGTGTCCTATAAATGCTACTCACAAGGTTCTGGTGGTGGTGGAAGAGGTGGTGGTGGTTCTTCAGTGGCTGCAGCTGCAGCAGCATTTGCTTGTGCAGCTTCATTTGTCATAGATCTGGTGATCCTGCCCTTACGGCGACCTTGGCTATTGGCAGTTTTTCGGCCCCGAGGAGTGGCCTGCTCCCTCTCCTCTGTTTCCTCTGATGCAGCTTCAGATTTGTCCTTTTCTTTGGTGTTCTCTCTGGGAGGAGTTAAAATACAGTTCAGTCATATTCAGATAGCCATGATGGGAAGATATTCCTGAACATCAGTGTTAAAGTACCCCAGAACAAACCACAAACGAAACTGCAGGAACTCAAAAGATGCCTTTAGTGAGACAGACTTCCCTTTCTGCCCACGATTTAGAGCTTCTAGAGAATAAGACAGGTGCACAATATAATAAACTTTAAAGAAAATATGCACACTGTGATAGAGCATATGAAAAAAAACAAATCAACACAGTATGAAAAACTACATGTGCAAAAAAACCCGCAACCTGTGGCTTTTTTCACCAGTCTGATTAATTTAGCAAGACAGAGGAATTAATATGTTAAAAAAATTGTTTAATGCACAAAACCTAAACCAAATAGGAACAGTTTTCAGTTCAGATTTCACTGTCAAGCTGATGCAAATTCTATTCTGATCTTTGCAAAACCCCCCACAATTTAGAGTGAATTAATGCATTTTCAGTTCAAATACTTACTTAGATTCTTCCTTCTCGTCCTTTTCCTCCTCATCTTTCTTTTCCTCCTCTTTTTTCTCTGCTTTGTCTGCTTTTTCCTCTTCTACTTTTTCTTCTACCTTTTCTTCTTGAGAAGGACGAGCAATTTGTTGCTGAAACAAAACAGGATTTACACATTATAACAACTTAGTCATAAAAAGGTGCAGTGACTTGTACGCAGAGCAGCAGAAACACTGATGCTGCCTTACCTCCCACTTGATAATAGATTAAGATTCAGTCACTGCACACTGGTCAATGTAACAGCAAAAACACCTCTCTGCCAAAAATTATAACACCCATCTGCTCCCTGAAATCAAAATGAACATGATGCTCTAACCATCAGCTCTCAAGCTTCATAAGTCCCCTTTGCCATAGGATGTGCCATTTTTATATATTAGCTGTATATCCTCTCAGTTTATTTTCTCTTGTATTTCTCCTGGGCAGCTGCCCCAATCAAATATGCTGTTTTGCCTTATAAATTCCATGGAGGTCCAGGCTGCTTCTGCAGCAAGAGCACAGAGGTGACAACGTGCACATCCATGTGTCCCTGTTGAATGCCACACTAAAAATGAACAGCTGCGTTTTGGAAGTGCTCAGGGAGCTCTGACCATCTTGTGTAGTAATGGTGTTGCTCCTCTCCAACTTTATTTTTAACACTGTCCATTTTAAAACAGTGAAACACGATCACTTACAACTTGGAAGCAGAAGGATAAAAATCATGAGCAACTCTAAGTCACCTTCTCAAAACTGTCTCTGGTAATTAAGAAATACAATTGTTCAAACAACTGGGTCAGGAATTTTAGACTTACATTTCCAGAAAATTATAGCCTAGAAGTTTTCTTTTAAAAAAAAACCCCTACAGTCTTCATTGAGATTATAATTTTACAAACACATTCAGCACCGACAAATGACAAATTAATTCTTGTTACCCATTATTATCGTAAGGAAAAAAGCAGAAAATACTGTTCTACACATTCCCTGTTAAGGGAGCCTCACTCTTCATCTTTCAAAGCAATACAGGTGACTACCATGTGCAAGGTGATTTTAGAAAGCACATACATTTGATTTAAACTTTCCAGAAGAAACAATCTGCTCCAAACAAGAATTAGTGAAAAAAAAATTCTGTTATTTAATGTGAACACATAGAATTACCAGCAGGGTCCCTTATAGTTGCTTCAAAACAAACCAACACAAAATTTAGAAAAAATTGTGCCATTGCTTTTGCTATTCCTTATCACACACACAAAAGATTAACAATAGCCTTGACATGAATACTACATGGATAGTATCTCTAACAAGGTGATCACCTGAGTGGCACAGAAAAATCCAAGCCTTCTACTAGGAGCTGGTACTAGGGACCATACAAGAATGAGACAAGAAAGCCTGAGGCTGCAGGTGAGGTTATAGCAGGCAGGACTCCAATTAAAGGTGAGGGGAGAGGGAGGGGAAAGAAAGTTCTCTTCCTGCTCCCTTGAAAATACCTAAGCTTTTCTAAAATGCATTATTAGAGTTTAAATTCTGCCTTAAATATGTTTCCATAAGAAATAACAGAATCTAAGAGAAGGTGGGGAGCTGGATATGGCCACACAGAGGGAACTACTCACAGGGGTTTACAATGAAGGGGCTTGAATGGGTAAAACAAAACCTCTGTCAGTCTTCATTCCAGTCACCCCTCCAGAGGAACTGCAAAACCCAGATACTCTCCACTCCAATTTGGTGTGTGCAGAACAAACTTGTTCCTTATGAGCATTAGACTCTGTGAGTCAACTTCAAGAAGCGAAATACATGTAATATTTATATAAAGCAACTTTCCAAATAAATACCCAAAGTACATTTGGCAATTCACGGAAAGACAAGGGCAGAGAGCTACAGGATTGCTGTCCCAGGACTCCATTAACTCACATTTACAGTCCACTGAAAAAAATCCTCAAAAAAGGCTTTTTCACAGAGGAACCAACCTTCCTGTAAGTGTAGCAGCAGGTGTCACTCTTTCACTAGCAAAACTGAGGCTGGAAATAGTCACAAAAAAGACTTGGTTTCAACACTTCAATAATGTGAATTGGAGCAGAAAACCCAAACACTGAACACTATCATCTTGCTGCAGATTATTAGCATTTAAGATGCCAGCATCACTTGGTTATGCAAAAAACTGCCTTCAAGCAAGATGTCAGAGACATGCTATGATAATTTATTTCTGTCTTGTTAAACAGACTGGCCTCAAAAGAAAGGAATTAAAACCTGCATTTTCAGAAGAAAAGAAAAAAATGTAAAAAATAAAATCTGCATTTTACATACAAGCAATTTACAAAACAGCTACTGAAAATCCTCTGCTCTTTTTGCCTGGCTCATTTAACATCCCACTTTGTAAATAACAGGTTCTCTATTTCACAGTGAATTCATTGAACATGCATAATCAATAGGTCAAGTGCAGGTTAAACACAAACCTTAAAACAGTTGAAGCCTCGGTCAGCGACGTACCTGCACATTCATCTGTTGATTAAAACTTTTACTATCCAGGCAAGGGGACGGGCTTTAATTCGGGGTACGATTCAAAAGGACAAAGCCCACACCAGCACCGAAATCACACGACTCTTTAGCAGAGGCTGCCTGACCCAGCAACGTGTTTATTCCAGGAAATTGTGTCATTCTGCCACTTAAGCTGCCTACAGCAGAGTTGCCCGTCTCACATCCAACCTTTTAATCTCTGTGGGGTCACCCCAGGATACCCCAGCGAGCCTGGTGTGCTGCCTGTCACAGCCAGCAGATTTCTGTCTAGTCAGATCACTGGACTGGGCCACCTGCTGTGAAGGCACAGCCTGACCCAGGCAGTGTTTGTGCTGACCAGGCAGCCAGGCCACAGAAACACACCCCTCTGCTACCCAACTTCAATGAAAAACTTCACTCCTTCCAGGAGATCCCCAAGGAATCCCCTCAACTCCAGGTAAAAGCACCCTGCTTTCTTCCAATACTATGCTAAGAACTTGCTCTTCATTTGAAGTCACATTTGGTTTCAGATGCTCTCGTTTAGTTGCCCCCATGAGTGTTCTGGAACAGCTTATGGAGCAATTTCTAAAAAGTCCTTCCTAGACCTATTTGAAGACAAAAATGTATCAGAATTCAGTAAGCCAAACATCTCTTCACTTGACATGCCTCAATCTAACATTCTCTGAAGGAAATGCCTCCACACTGAAACTGAAGTCAAGCTGGACCCACTACATTCTCTGAAGGATTTCAACATCATTACCATGATTAATAGCTCCTCCACTGTAATATTCCACTTGCTTGCTTTCTGATTTATAAAAATATATGAACTATTAAGAGTTTAAGCTCAAGCACCTGTTATTGGCATAAGCCCATCTCAAAGCACATCAAAAACCTTACATGACTGGTGTTTGCCATTCAGCAAGGAACTTTCAGGTTGCTACTGAGAGATGTGAAAAATACCAGCTTCAAACAAAGCTGGGGTGTGGGAGGGAGAGAGGGATGAATTCTGCAATCATAAGATAAAAGTTCTGGCAAGCAAGGCAGTTCAACATTCTCAAGTTATTTTTTACTAGCCGTAATAGATGCTGTTAATTTATCACTGATTCAATTAAAGAAATACACATGATTTTTAGGGACCATGCAATTCCTTCCTGCTGACCTATAGAGGTCTGAATTTAAACTTGTAGAAATGGTAACATTTCCCATTTAGAATGTTGAGAGTATTTCCTGGAGTTTGCAAGTTTACCTCAACATTCTTCAGACCCACAAGCTCTGACACTTCCCTGCACCCTTAACACAGCACACACTGAGCCTGTCAAGCAGTTGCCCACATTTTAGTGGTCTGCTGTAGCACTTAACGTGCATCAACAATGAGCAATTAAGACCTACAGCTCTGCTAAAATTCAAGAAGCAAGTAATTTGAGTTGAATGAACAGCAGCTCCAGTGTTCCAACTCATGTATTTAGTTGTTCACACATAAATCAGTATTCAGAGGAGCAGTTACAAAGTCAAGCAGAGCACCCTGGGTGTCCTTTTGTAGAGAGCCAAGTTCACAAATCAATGCCCTGGTGTACAGGGCTGTAATTTAAGAAAAGGAAAGCAAACATTTATGGATTGAGAAATGAGAAATCCATCCAAATTTTGAATTCTACCACTATTCTACAGTTTAACAACACTGAAAGACATTTAAATATACATATTTAAATATTAATATCTATTTCTTCTGATGTTCTTCTGAATATCTCAATACTCAGAGCTACATTGCATTAAGGCTTGAGCCAGTTCTGTCTCCTCACCTCTTAGCACAGCTGCAGAAGGACAGCACAGGACAAAGATCCTGCTCAACATCTGTGTACTTGCTATGATCACAGCAATCTCATTTCACCATGGAACATGAAATTGAGCCACTTAAAACAGCAATATTATCGGCATTTAGTGTCCACAGCAACTGCCTACATTTTGAACAACCTTCTTTCTATCTGTCATCTATCCATACTTTAATGAGCATCTTCCACCATCACTAATCACACAACAATACCCTTTTCCTATTAAAAAGCATTATTAGGCTTGGAAAGTCTAACAGAAGTTCTATCAAAATACAGGATATTTCCAGTATTTCTCCCATCACAGCAGTTCACAATTAGTCAGAACAGAAGCTCTAAATCCTGTGCATAATGAAAATGACCTAATGCCAAGCAAACCATAATTTGTGAGGTACAGACAAGTAAGTCTTCTGTGCTATTATCTCTTCTCTTAGAACATCACTCCATAATTTAAAAGGTTTAAGTTCAACTGCACCACAGAAGCACAATACTGTCATCGCATTTTCCAGTGTGAGTCACGTGCTAAGCCTAAATTCTCTTGGCTCTAAGATAGGATTTAATGAAGGATTCAACTTCAATGGCTATGGCAAAGTCCTCAAATAAAATGAATTGTCATATTTTAAAAAGATACAAAAGTGCAAAAGAAGAAGATATTCCACAGAATTAAAAATAATGTAACCAAGAACACCCTTGAGGTCAGGATTGCTTAAACATAAAAAGGGCAACAATTCAGTAAAGGAAAAATAATTATTTTTCCTTTCCCCCCCCTCCTCACACATATATACTTGCTATAATGGATAGTAAGACATCTGTACATCGGAAACAATAAATAAGAATAACCAAATCACTCATAAATTGAAGATACCTGGTTTCTTCCTCTGCGTTTACCATAATTCCTTCGCACAAGGGCTTTATAATTTTCATTTTTCTTAGTCAAATAATAATATAATACACAGTCAGGAACATTCTAAGGTGAAAAAGCAAAAATAAATTAATAAATTTGGTTTAATCCCTAGAAAAGTACATTTCTAGTATTTCATTTCTCTCAATACTTAACTATTCAGCCCCTAGATGAAAATAAAACGTTATTAGATGTGTTTGCTCAGCAGGGAAGTAAATTCACACACAAACATCACAATATAACTATGCATAAAATTAGTGTTAAATGCAAATCCTATGTATTTATAATGCACCTCAGCTCCTTCAGTCTTCAAGATTTAATAATATGTACTAGACAATTTGCAAGTTTGAAAGCTTCTATTTATTGTAATAGCTTTATGTGTTCCAGCTTCTGTTCTTAGTTCTCCATTACTCCTGACATCAGTTCTGCAGGACCAGTTCTACAGACTAAATTGAGTTCTAAAGACTAACTCAGGCAGCAGAAGGATCCCCCTGAAGGTTCCTCAGCACAGTGGCTCAGCAGAGCCAATTATGTCCTTATCTAAGCATTGAGACAGTTAGAGAAGCTTCAAAAAGAAAATAAGACCAAAACTAAATGAACTGCCATTTTCTTTTCTTGTCATTAACAGTGTCATTTCAGTAACTTTTTTTAGATGCTTGCAGGCACTGATTATGTTACTGATCAAGCATTATAGAATCCTATCAAAGCAGTAACTTCTGGACTTTTTTTTTCCCCAGGAAGGGAAAATGATGCTGGAATAAATGACTTACATTTGGAAAGGTAGGGATCCCCCCTAGGCTTTACTTATATTAAAAAAATCTTACCTTTCTTTCCAGGTAGGAAGCAATTAGACCAAAGTTCTTGGGATGTTGGACAAACCTTTTATAAATCAGAAATTATTTAACAATGTAATTCATGATCAAATAAGCAAAGCAATCTTCAAAAAAATCTGTTCCATCAGCAAGCTTTTGATTTATACAACTGAAATTAGTCTAAAAAGCCCAGTTTCCAAATTGTGGAAATTTTGAACTAAGTGCTTAAAATGAGCTATTAGCTGATACAATGAGGTCATACACCAACTCTTCTCATTTTCATCTTATCATGGAACTAAAGTACCTCTGAGAAAATCTCTTATTTAAGGAATAAATGCACGTGAGCCTCCTCAGCTGAAAACCAGGAGAAGTCTAAAAATTTAGCAATATTTCCTTCATCCAACCAACAACATAACAAACATTAATGCACAAAAGCTCCAGCATTCCCGATTTAACTGATGTTTACTCTGGGGTTAGGTATTGAACTGCCATTTGCAATGTAATAAAAACAAAAGATAAGAAAGCTCATTACTTTTCCTTAAAAATCTCTTTCTCATGGTCGGTCCAGACATTCATGAACTGTCTGTCTTTATAAACTTTCATGGGATCCTCCATCAGACCATTCATATTAATAAACTTCACTCGTCTTTGTTCTGCATCAAACATCATGGGAGGAATGACCGAGAGCTGACGCATTTGTTTCTCATTATTCTACAGGCAAAGAATAGAAGAAAAAGTAATGGATAAAAAATTGCTACTAATGCACACACTTCTTTGTATCACACAACTAAAGCTCCACGACAATATACATTCATCGTTTGACACCTCTTTTTTTTTTGTCCACTTCTCAACTCTTCTGGAAGTTGTCACTATCATTGACACCACCAGCTAAAGGGAAGTGTGTGGCAGATGATGAATAACTAAAATGGTGCAGGCTTGTAGAAAGGAAGAGTGTTCACATGTTTGTTAAGAGCTGTAAAAAACTAGGTTGTAGCAAGGCTGCAGTGAACACAGACACATAAGAAAAAGCTAGGAGACACAATTAGAAAGCAGAACCCTTAAAAGAAAAATACTGTAAGACCCATTTCAAGGCAAACTTCACTCAGATTCCACCCCCAAACCGGCCCAAAAAAGGTTTCTGGTATCAAAACCACAACCCCTCTGAAAGACCTTTCACTGCCAGTAAAAGGATTTGGAGTCATTTGCTGTGCTTCCATAGCAAAGTACAGACAAGAGCCTCACCTCCTGCTCAGAAAGTCCATCAATGATTTCAGAAATCTCATGTTCACTTCTAGCAATAGTTGCTGAAAGTCCAGCCCCTCTTTGACCAACCCTAGAATGAGGGGAATACAGAAGTAGTAAGGACAAAGTGGAAAACAGCTGCATTTTCAGATTTTGTACACAACAATGACAAGATGTTTTGTGTAATGATCAGTGAACGTTCATTTGCTCAAAGATTTTGCTGAACTAATCAATTTGCACAAAATTTGACCAAAACCCCTTAGTATTTACTCAGCAATAGTATCACAAGCCCAGCTATAGACAAAGCTCCATTGCATTAGAGAACATAACTAGTAGTTTGTCATTACAAAGATGTGATATATTCTTAAAGTAAAAGCTTTTTATAGAGAGGAGTTCTGCTTCCATCCTAACCATTTACTTTCTTTTTCTCTTGATTCCACAAAGCCAGATATTGCAAACTCTCTGCTTTTCCTATCTTTTATGAAGAAAGGGGGTTTAGACAGATGGCTAGAAGAGATAATGAGATGAAATCTTTATGGGGCTTGAACTCTCAAAGGTGTATTAAAATTATCTTAAACATCAGATAAACACATTTGAACACAACTGAAGCAAACTTGACCTAATTCTGAGATAAAGCACTGCCTACACTACTGTAGATAAACTGAACTCTCAAATGAATTGCACTTCATTCCTTTTAAGACTCTTTGTACAGTTTCCATTTAACAAATGTCTGAGAGATTAAAATTAAATAATAGGGACATAATTGTTGTAGCTTGCACACTTCAAAAAGCAAAAATGTCTGGATAAAAATTACATGGCAAGTACAAAAAAAGATCACTCAATTTGTTAAATAAAGAAGTCCAATTATTTTGAGTGTGTAGGCTAGTGAATATAGGGATCATGAAAAAAGGAGTAACACAGACATACAGTAACAGAAAAATACTAAAGTTTAAACTAGGGTGTAGGCCCAAAATGAACAGGCTGGTGTGCAGTTGATGCTCCCATTATCTGAAGACCAACTCCACAAACCTCTTTGTGCACCTAAACAGCTTAACTCACACAGCCTCACCAAGCACCACAACCTAACCAGGCTTTGCTAATTAGCCCTTTTTCTGTGTTTCTTTTGGAAAATACGGGTTTTGATGGCAGATCTAAAAAGTAGGACAGGAAAGGAACAATTTGGGGACCACTAAAGCAGCCCAAAAGGACACCAAACTGATGAGGTGACAGGGCTGACAGGGAGGAGCAAGAAGGGGCAAGACCTAAGGAGATCTACAAGGAGAATCATGAAGATCCTTGGGATGTGAACTCAAACTTGAGCTCAATGCTGTGAAACACAGAGAACAAGTGAAAGAACATTCTACATTATGCTATACAATAATATCCTTTTTAAAGTGATTAACATAACACTTAACCATTAAGCTGAACCCATTTTATTATGAATAATCACAAAACTTACATCCTAAGAGATATTTTAGAGGAATATTTCAAATCCAAGGAAATACCTTTGGAATCGTTCTTGCTGTTCTCTTTGCTTCCGGATTTCTGGAAATTGTTTTTCATAGTATTCCCTGGTTTTGCTCTCCTTGGCTTTCCTGCGTGGATTATTTTCTATCCTGTCAACTTTCTTCTCCCATGCCTCCATCAGCTGGTCGTAACGCTGACAGATTTTCTGCTCCTGTTAAATTACAAAGGTAAACCTTGAACTAAACACAAACACACAAAGTGATCAGTGCACAGAACAGGGATGGACTCCATATTTTTCCTCCTCTAGTGGCTCTTCTATTCTGAAGATGACACATAATTTTCAGCAGAGAAGGTGAGGAAGTGGATATAAAAAATGTACATTTTTTAATATTACAGACTATTTCTTTGCTTTACACATCACAGTGTTGTTTGGTAACTGTTAATACTGCCTTCCAGAACTCTCACATCTTCTGGTACCAGGCTTTTAATTATGTAAATTGGTTTAATTTTTAAATTTTGTTTTATTTCACAATTTTAATTAACAGAATGGGGCTTGAAGTCCTTAAACTCAGCAATATGGAGGGAGCTGCTCCCACTTAAAAGAAACCTTGGGCTGTAAGAAGAAAAATACATCACTACATTTTCATGGAGGAATCTTCCAATTTGATTCTTAATATTAAAAAAATGGTCTTTCAGACATCACCCAAAGCAGCCCTTGGACTTTGCATGCCACTGGCTACAACAGCATGCAAGAGAGAACATTAAGTCAGTTAACACTGGTATCCAACATACACATTTTATTTAAAAAGCTAACTTTAAAGAACTTTCAGCTACTACAGCTACTGTATGAGAGAAGAAGTTCAGAGAGAGGCCAGGCATGACAAAGATTTTCACTGTCTCTTCCACTCAAAATACTCTAAGAAAAGGAAAGAAAAAAAGCTTTTTCCTTACTGCTCTCTAAATGTTTTTCACTCAAATAATCAACAAACTACAGCTGGAAACCTGAAATTTGTTTTTCAAGGAATCAACAGAATTTTAGCTTAAGATCTTAATTTGCTACATCAATGGGTTTTACATCACATGTTTGATAATGCAAGTCAAGGATCCAGACAGAAAACCAACCCTGTGCCCAAAAGAATGGTCACATTACCCGTTGTTTCCTTGCATGATTCCTTCTTTTAAAGAACAGTATGAGCTTCTTCCTCATCACCTGGTTTCTGGAAAACAAAATTGGGGGGAAAAAAAAGTGAACTACATCAGAATCAAGCACTTCAAAAACTACTCAACAAAGACCATATGGATTCTAAATGCCAGATCATTATTATGAAATATATTTTCAGGGATAGAAAGCAGAGGGAAAATTACTGATGAAATGATCATCTAATTAATTCTGTAGATAAATGAGTTCACCATCATCTTTGCAGAACTGAAACATTACAAGTAATCAGATGCGACTTAATGGAAATTTGAATCTGAGGACAAATAAGCTTAATTAAGCACAATTAAAAATTAATCTACTAAAACTTTATTTCCATTTATAAACAATATTTGATTTAGTGAATTAGCTCATACAAATCTGAGAAACAAGTTCTATATTAGAAAAGAAAAAAATAATTCCTTTTCCTAAAAATGCACATTTTTGCCAGAAGAAAAACAACCAGAATTTGGTTTGCCCTAACTAGCAACCAAGTGTAGCATGCAACAACTCTGCTTGCAGCTCATCACAACAAATGAGTACATGGTTCAGTCCATAAATAAATAGATAATAACAAAAATTCAGGACCATAGGACTGCTCCTACCATGTATTGAGAGAAGTAACTTTTAAACACTTATTTGAATAATACATTCAGGAAAAGCTGACTAGGCCTATTTAGGTTGAATCTGGCATTTCAGACTTTGAAAAATACCAGCAGTACCAACTTAAAATAAAAGCTTTGTGATTTATTTTAATCTTTAAGTTATGATGCACAGTTAGTGTTTCCCTTTGCCCTCAGTACCTTAACTCTCCTTGCAGCACTGCTCTACAACATGGAAATCAGCAAATTACACAGACTGGGAGCTTTTAAATACTTTTGAAGTACACACATCCTATCTGGAAATCACAGCAGCCAAAAATGTGAGTGGATGTTTGAGTCTGGGCCCCTTAAAGGGCACAATGACATGATAGTAAAGCACTTACGTTTTGATGTTCTCATGGTAGACCTTCGTGTCTGATGGCTGGTTGTAAAGGGGCTACAATTTGGGATTAGAAAGGTATGTTCAGTACTTTTCCTCACATGTAATTCTAAAAGTATATGCAAAATATTTCACAATATTTTAATATTCTGCCAATTTTGCACACAAACTGAGATGCAGAAATCTGAAGGGACTAGAAGGTGCTCAACACAAAGCAGAGATTTAATTACTTAATCACTGTAGTTACTTATCTATATAAGATACACATATAAGATACTTATCTATGTAACATATACTTACATAACATTCTTTTTTTTTTTTTTTGGTATTACACTTACATGGCAAATCAGTTTGTTCAATCCCCAATTCACCAGTGTATTTAAACACTTCTTCTATACATAAACATAGAACTCCATCTGTTTATCACAACAGAATTGCAGACAGGAGGACAACATTGGCAACACAGAAAACAGAAAAAAATGTCCACACCAAAACACACAACTTACCAGTTCAACTTTTGGACCAAGACCTTCAAAAATTTTGTGAGCTTCTTCTGCCTTTTTCTGAAAATAAGATGTTTTGAATATACTTAAAGTAAATCAGAAGTTAATATCAAAAGTGTATCTGAACTCTCTCACTTCTACTGGCTACCAAAGCCCTGTGTGACCACACTATATCCTTCTTAACCTGCTTCCACAATGTTGCCTCAGCAAATCAAGAAACCTGCACCTGAATCTGACCCCCATGTTTGGAAGCTGATAGAGCATAAAACCAGAAACTGATCTCTGCAGCTCACAGAGAACATGCATTCAGTAAATAATATGGCAAATGTAATTACTAAGAGGAAGAAAGGTGTCCAGTAAAACAAAAGTATATGTAGCTTTGAAAAAAATGGAATTAAAGAGAGTAAACTTCTTGAATTGCAGTCTGGGAGTGTGAATAAATGTGATTGAGAACCTTTGACACAGAAGGATGTCTAAGGTTGCCGTGCCCTCACATCAGGCAAAGACCTCAGAATAACTCTGACCCTAAAGGAGGCAGGACTCAATAAGACATTTGGCTTTCAGGAATTTCAAGCCTGTACAAGCTTCCAAAGGCCTCTGTCAGCAGACAAGGTTATCTGAAATGACCCAACACATTAGTTCAAATTCACCTATGTATACTTCCTCATATCTGTTAATTTACCCAAATCTGAAGTGCCAGAAGTCAGAGTTTAAAAAGAAGGTATAGAATCTTACATGTGCAGTTTTTCCCCCTCAGCTAATATAAGTGTTCGGTCTTCAGACAAGCTTGTCAGTATTTATGTGGGGAAAAGAGAATTCAAGATAAATTTCTGGAGCATTTTTTTATATTCATCTCTATATATGTACACACAAAAATATCTATCTATAAGTATATACGTGTGCGTGTGTGTAGGCAGAAACAGACACTTATATCTCAACACAGAGGTCCAATGAAACCAATAGAAGTGTTTCCCTAGACTGGAGGAGGATTCTGTTTGAAAAATAAAAATATCATGCAAGTGTCTTTCATTTAAAGAAGTAAATTAACATGAAAGGAGGAGCAGGCAAACCAGTGAAACAGGACAAGCAAAAACTGCCCCGTGGAAGTGAATTAAGACACAGTGAATTTGAGCACAGTGGGTCAGACCTGCAGGTACACTCAGTCAACTGAGAAGGACACTCACCCGATTCTCATCGTAAATAATCTGGACGATACTGCGGTGCTTCTGTTCCACTGGAGGGGGGGAGACAGGTCTCTCTGGCTCTGGAGGCTTAGCAGCTTCTTCTTCAAGTTGTTGCTAAGAGACAAAAGAAAGAAAATCAGCCATCCACACCACATTACCCTTACCAGTAATTAAGTCAGAGATAACATATGCATCTGATCAACAGTTAGCACTGCCTGGTATTTCTCTTCTTAACTGACAAGGAATGAATGAAAAGAGCTGTAGTGCCAACAGGGACAATAGCAAGACTATTTTTGTACTAAGGGTAAACTAAATTTAAAAGACTCACCTGCATCAAACCAGACTTGTCTCAGCTTGACATTTAAAGCCACTGTTGCATTGTAATTTATCACAAACTTTAAAGAAAGATATTAACTTTGGAGAATGGTTACACCAAACCTGTCTTCTCACAGAGGAAGTATCCACAGAGATGTCTTTCTCCACTGTAGATATTCAAGTATCGTTATTACTACTGGGTTTTTTTTTTTCAAAAGGTACAAAAGTCCTTCTAACACTCCACATAGAACATCTTCCTAAACGTACTTCCCACCAGAAGCAAACCACTCCACATCTATTGAAGATCCAAGATCATTCCAATACCAAACCAGCAAAGAAACTTGTCATATTTTCCTGGCTACAACACTGCTGTGCTTTACTTTCACATCAGATAAATCTGATTCAGTGACATCTTCATTTTTTTAACTGTAAATATCCTTCATCCATGTCTGCCACAAAAACACAACAAAGAAATTCTGACACTAGGGATCCATCTGTCTTACAACACTGGCTAAAATGTGCTATATTGCTGCATTCTTAAGAGTTCAAAACCCAGTAGTTTTGCGCAATGTCAAAATAAACAGGCTCAACTATTGCAGGAAACAGGAACTTTATAATTTTTTCAAGTCAAATAACACTATAAAAGTGCACAAATGAACCTTCATAGATGATAACCACAGTTATTTGCTGATTTTGTGGAAAAGTGAACAAACAACAAGATAAGCATCATTAACTCACAGCCAGGTACTTTGTGACATCCTTTTTTGGTTTTCTGCTGAAGGTCACTTTACAGGTCATTAAAATTCAGATGTAATTAAATGCTTCCAGACCATAAAATCATACTGCTCCAGAAAGCTGTCAGTCTGTTATCCTGGACCTACAAATTAACAAACCCTGCAGCACAACCCTCACTTCCTACAGAATTCTCACTAAAAAAAAAACAAACAACAAACCTTAAAGCTGGCACTACTTCTACATGGATCTTTGAAAGTTAAAAAGGAAAAGGAGACAAGGACTTTGCTTTTCCAATGAATAAGAGATGTCTAGATTGAAGGGTGGGCTTAGTTGGTCACGACAACTATAGGGAAGAAAACAACTACTGCCAGCAAACACTTCCTTTGCTTCCAATGGCTGAAGTGCCGTTCCCTGACGCAAAGCACAGCCAGGACTGTACTGAAAAAAAGTAGTATTTCCTCCTTTATCTCTCTGCTCTATTTACTAACACCCGTCCTACTACTCTTTCC